ATCTGATTCAATCCCAGTGTATTTTGGTGTGACTTCAGTTGATTTGTAATTCCCCAATGGGTAGTTCATCACACTTCCTAAATGTTATATACTGTTGACAGTTTTCCATATGGAGGTCTCCTCCTATTAGCATTTAAGTTGTTTAACCTCCTCCTGCTTTTGTTTATAATTTTTTGAATAATGTTAAATAGCTGAAGATTCTAGAGTCTAAATGAAGGAGACGGTTAACTATGTAAATATTTTCCTGGTTTTCACTGATGTTATAAATAAAACTAAAACAAGTTGTAAGCTGCCTAGAGTTATTTGAGTAGGTGGCCTACAAATAAATGTAATACATAAATAACGAATTGCTCCCTATTCAGGTGAGAAAAGGGAGTACTGTAGGGACACTGCAGTAAGGGTGACAAGTTGGAAACAATCTCCCCTTAGTTTCAAACTTAAGCTCTGAACTTCAAAACTAAAAAGCAAGTGCCAGTAAAACTGAACCAGGAAGGAATTTCAGATTCAAAAGAACTGTTGCCTGGGTAGAAAGAGTTATAAATGTCTGCACAAGATTATACCATGGTTACTCTTTATTTTTTGTGCTGCTTCTACAATGATCTATTTCTCTTTGTAGCAATTGTGATAAAAGTTCATTGTATTTGCGCAGCTCAATGATTTGAAATTGTTACACTTTGGGCTCTTTATACAGTGGATTCCCCACCACCACCAGATATACTCCAAGTACATATTTTTCTACCCAGCAGATTTTTATGGAAGATTCCTTTAGAATGCTGGTTGCAATTTTATCAGCATTGTGTTCCTTATTTCAAAATTTTGCTTTTGCACGTAACTGCCCAGAGTTAAAACGACAGTTTATGTATTTTTAATTTTTAAAAAAATAAAGTGTATTTTATATCCTATATTATTGATCTAACTTCCCAAAGGAAAGAGGGGTGGGGAAGTTAATTTCCCTAGTTACGTGCCTTAAACCTACAAAGTTCAAGAAGCAGTTTAACATTTCAGTTTTAGTATTCCCCTCACTCCATGTTTTGATTACAAATCAGGTCTTAGGCTGTGGAGATCTCTTGCAACAGGTTTAAGGGCGGAGGGACATGTCAGGTACCTCCAAAACAGATAAGTGGTGGCAATAAAAACAATCAAGCATCTACCCCAGTGTTTTTCAAATTTAGAAACCTAAGATGTGTGGAGTTCAACTCTCAGAATTGTGGCTTTATATTTTAAAAGTTGCTGAGGCTGAGAAACACTGAACTTACACTGAGGACAGAAGATGGTGTTAAGATGCGAAAAAAAATCTTTAGGAATGAAAGGTTGAAAGCTCCCACTTTTTAATTCTTCTCATCTTCACAACTGTCACCAGAAATCTGGGTCAACTAATGGCCTATTTTTAGATATGTTTATCTCACTAGGTACAGTACCTCACTCTTCCATAAGGATTAGTAGCATATTCTGACTAACTTGATTTTGTCTCTTTTGGAGAGCTTTTCCAGGAGGAGTTTACTTATTTAGAAAAAAAGATTTCAAAGCAGGGGTTCTTACCTTTTGGGGAAACTGGTCCCCTTTCACAATCTAATGGAACCCATGGACACCTTCTCAGAACAAATTATTCAAATGCATAAATTGTGTAACAAAAGAAACTTATTATGTTCAAATGCAATTATCAAAATATTACTGGCATGTATGGATATTTAGAGAGGGATGCAGTGGCTCAGTGGCTAGGACACTGAGCTTGTCGATCGAAAGGTCGGTAGTTCAACGGTTCGAATCCCTAGTGCCGCATAATGGGGTAAGCTCCCGTTACTTGTCCCAGCTTCTGCCAACCTAGCAGTTCGAAAGCACGTAAAAAATGCAAGTAGAAAAACAGGGACCACCTTTGCTGGGAAGGCAACAGTGTTCCATGCACCTTTGGCATTTAGTCATGCCAGCCACATGACCATGGAGACGTCTTCAGACAGTGCTGGTTCTTCCGCTTTGAAACGGAGATGAGCACCACTCCCTAGAGTCAGGAACGACTAGCACATATGTGCGAGGGGAACCTTTACCTTTACCTTTTTTATGGATATTTAGGCACAAAAGAACCTTTGAACTAAAACTTGTATTGATCATTATTACTTGCAAAATTTTGGAGAAAAGGGTAGTGTACACAATAAAATGTATTCTGTTCCTACTTTTTAAGGGTATAATACTTTTACATAGTATTGAAATTAAACCCTATTTTTGCAGGCTGGAGGCCATAAATTACTTTGTTGCCTATGTTATTATTGAATGAAAATCTAAATTACAGCTAAATTTCAGTTAACAGTTAGTGAAAATAAAGTTGTAATTTTATATACCATCCAAGTTCACGGACACCCTGAAAATTATCCACAAACCCTCAGGTTAAAGACCCCCTGCACTAGCCAAAGTATAAAAAGCTGCAGAAGTCACTTCCATGACCCAGTGCAGGAAACCTCCCAATAATCCCTTTATTTTTATCTAGAAATCTGGCTTTATTAATTTTAGAAGGGAAATTTTCATTAAAACTTCCCCAAACTGCAGAGTTCCATAGTTTTGAGTTTCAGGACAGGCCGAACAGTTTCTGTATTTGGGGTTTTAGGCAGAAAGATTAAAAGTATCTTTTTATTTTCCTAGAATTGGGCTGAAGGGATATATTCTGGGTAAGAGGGTTAAGAACTTTTCAACTGGACAGACCAGGATGTCAGGAATCATAACTACCATTTCCTGGGGAACTCTTGCAAAAAGGAATAGGCCAGAGGGTATTTATGTTATCACCCCTTCCATTTCACAGTACTGTACATATAAAAAGAAATATTGGTGATACATATTAATATATTTTATTTTGCAGGAACAGCCCAGGATTTTGGAGAAATTTTAAACACAAGAGAACTGTACTCCACCTGGAACTGAAGGCAGCTGGAAAGAAAAAAAAATCTACTCCCTTTTGGAGGATTTATGCCCAATATGCCCCCCCCCCAAAAAAAAGGCAGAAGAAAGGAAAATTGACAAAAGAGTATCTCAGTACTAAGTATAACAATTTTCCCCAGTCTAATATGCTGTATGTATTTTAGCCGTTATTGTCTTCATTCCCTGCGGGATAATAAGAATTGTAGCCAGAAGCATTTAAAATGAAAGTTTAGATTATTTCAGTGTTTTGGTAGACTGTGGCAAAGTTCAACAGATTCTATAGCATGGAGCTATTGCTAAGAAATTGTTCTAGCAGTTATATACTTTTATTAATAATCTTGCCATTCTTGGTACATAACCCCATTTGATCTGACGAAGTTTCATTAGCAATACTGGTAGGTTTCAAGAGAACACCAAGATAGTTAGTTTCATGCAGTCCTTTCAAACAGAAATTCCCAGATGAGCTTTCCCTTTGCAAGAGATAAGCCAGCCAGAAACAAAATGAAAATCCCTGCATTCTGAGAACAGAAAGTAACTTTTTCTCTTTCCCAGCACATAATAATCTTCAAGATCTGAAATTCCTGGGATGAAAAAAATCTTGTTTTTTTAAAAACATGCTTTACAAACAAGAGATACATTTGAGAAACTTCCCTTCTAAAGCAAGTTTTCCCCCTTGGTTGTAATTCGTGGAAATTGCAGCAAAATATTGCAGTTTGTGGAATGCTCTTCAGTGTGCCAACTAGCAAGGTACTAGAATAGGTTCATTGATAATGACTATGTTTGCACAATCCAATCAACCAACTGTATTTAACCAAGTGTTGTTGTTAACCTAATGGGATCACAGAACTGTTCTCAAAAGATCAAATTTATTACAGCCTATCCAGTTGTTAAGGTCTACAGAAGATGCCCTTTTGAATTGGATCCCATTGTCAAAGATTAATTTTTTAATTAATTAATTAATTAATTCAATTTGTATGCCGCCCCTCTCCGAAGTCTCAGGGCGGCTTTTCTGGCATACAAGAGAGGACCATCTCCTCTGCTGTTTCAGTATAAGCATTCCCTTTGGAGACACATTTGGTAAATCTCACTAATCTTTTCTTAGATGCTTTTAATATTTAACTGTAATCGTATTTTATTCATATATTAACTTCCGTTGACTGTTTTCAGTATACACCAAAGCAGAAGATAATCCTTAAATCTTTCTAATAAAAGAAGTCATATAATCCCTGCAAAATTGACCAAGAGTAATGTCCTGAACTTGTTTCTCAGCCAGATTTAACAGCTGATACACATTTTGGCATTTAAACCTGCTCAAGCTAATACTTTGTTTTTCCAAAATGAATCTGTGATCCTTCAAATTATGCACGTATTACAAACTACCAATTCAAAAGACAATAGTCAAAACAGGAAGCATCATTAATTTAAAAACACGAGAATCCCCCAAAACAGATATATAAAATGTGGTGCAGATTTAGCTGATAGAATATTTTTTTAATCAGAAACAATATTTTTAAACACTAGATATTAAAACAAACGTTTCTTCTGATTATTCAAATGGCATTTCTCCAAAGGACAGTGTATCCAGATATGGTCTCCCACTGTTCCCAGAATTAGATGCAATGGTCTTTGGCAATAGCCAGTGCCTAAAAAATTGATGAGTAACTCTTTAGGATCTAAACTATTGTCACAATACACAGAGCAAGCAGGTATTAGAATTGAAATGTTAATCATTTCTATCTCCCATCTCATGCAAGTAAAGTTATCAGTAATGAAAAAATGTTCTAAGTTGTCCTATGGACTCTTGAATCTATGAGTGAATTTTTCTTCCACTTTAAATCTACAGTTGATAAAAGAAACATAAAACATGGCCAACAGTCCAGGAATGCAGCTTTGGCTTTTCTATTAAAGCCAGATGTACTAAGCTGTAGTAGAAGACACAATGGTGCTCTCAAATCTATTTTGCAAAAACTTCATAATTGAAAAATCAAAGCACATTCACAGAAAAAGTTAATGAGTGATGGCTTTCCTTTGCCAGTTAGACTCAGTACAGAAACTTTTTTGCTACGCCAACGTAATAAGGACAAACATAATATAACTTTGTGTAGGAAAGGATCATTGTATTTATATTTTATTGTTCAAATGTTATGCACCAAAATACATTTATTTCAAATATAGGAGACTAAGACTAGGGCTGGACCAGCTGTTAGCCCTGAAAGCTCTCCAGCTGATTCTGGACCAACCATTCTTTTGCAACCCAACCTATCTCCCATGAATATTATTATGGGGGAAAATAAAAGCCTGAAGGCTAAGAAGATATCCGTTGCTTTAACCATTTATATTTGTTTCAAGAAAACTCTTTCTTCTAGTCAAAGATGATTTCCTGACAATTGTTAATATTCAGAAAATGAAAGACATCTGCTAACAAAGAAGGAGCTTAGAAAACTAGATACAAAGTTTATTTTCAGATTCTGAAAAATGCTAAGTACTGCATCAGCAGTTTAAATAATCAATATTTATAAGATAGGTACAAAATTAATATTAAATGTTGACTCTACCTAGTTTTTCATACCAGCTAATTTCAAGAAACATTTTTTAAAGAAAGCACAGATCACCTTGACAGTGAAGTTTGTTTACACTTGTCATTTCATAGCACTGTTGTTTTCAATGGTCGATGAAGATGAATCAAAATATCCAGTGTCCATGAAGATTTTTTTTCAACAAAATGTAAGACATTTACATAATATTAATTTCTTCCCTACTTTCCAAATGCATTTAAAGAACAGAGGACTGAAATCATACCTTCCTTCCTTCTTTCCTCCCCCCCTTTCTTCTGTTTCCAAAGGACTCATTGTAATCCATATGACTATTTAGCTCTTATAGACTGACAGAGGTCAGAGGTCCTTAGCTCATTTAATTTTCAATGGCTTGGTGCATACTGGAAATAACTTAAATCATATTCTTTTATATAACATGCCATACGCTACAAATTAATATCCTATGTAGTCTGAAGGCCCATGGTTCAGCATATATGAAAAACTTCAAAAGATGGAAGACTCAAAAGATCTATGTAAGAAATACCATGGCTTTAGTATTTCTATGTAAGAAATTTCCTACATGGCTTTGGACCAGGGTATCCAAAGGAATGCCTGTTGCATCTCCCAGTTGTCTACATTCTGAAGTAATCTGAGCCCCTCATTCAGGTGTCTGAGCTGACAGATATGAGATGGGCAGTAACTGAGAAAAGCCCCTTCTCAGTTTCTGATGTTCTCGCACCAGAGCTCACCTGAATGTTGCTATTTGTACCAGAACAGGGGTCTCCAACCTTGGCAACTTTAAGCCTGACGGACAGCTGGGGAATTCTGGGAGTTGAAGTACTGTACTAAAGGGCATTTTTATTTTAAAATTTTAATTGTGCTGTCTACTTTGTTGCCAGTTTTAATCTGTGGATAGAAGAGGAAGTGGGTTAGAAGTTGAACATTTGATTTAAAGCCCCATCACAATGGAATATAAGGCTCCTTCTTTTTTCTATTTTCTATTAGGGAGAATATTTCTATCATTTTGGGAATAAGACATCTGTTCATGAAATGAAGCGTACCACAAAACCAGAAATGCATATTTGTCCATGCAACTTCCTTAAAATATTATCGTATTTATGCAGGATTTCCAATTAAAAAAAACCTTTGGAAATGCTTCTGACATGTTGATCACAACATGGCATACAACTATGAATATGCAACTCCTACGAGATTCAATAGAATTTTGTACAATTACAAAATCTTATAATTAATTTGTGCCAAAACTGATCAGCTAATAGTGACTAATATCACTAGTGATATACTTTCTGCTAAATGTATTTTCTGTACTTCAGTATGAAAAATACAATTTAAAAGGTGACTTTTATTCTCAGCTACCGCAAACCAAGCATGTAATTACTTTGGGAAAACATGAATGCAGCAGCAGTAATGATGCATTATTAAATGAAAATAAAAGAAGCAATTTCCTTAAAAAACCACCTGCTCTTTAACTGTATTTTATTATGTTTCTATCACTCCACGGGTCTCTTCTAAATATCTTCTTGTTTTATCCTCTCAAAATAAGGCTAACTGTAATTTTGTAAAAATCATACTTTAACATAGATAATCAAAGGATGAGTATTTCAATTTCTTTAAAAATTAGAAATAAGTAGTAAAATATTTTTAATATCATGAAGCATACCCTACAGCATTATTTTATGGGTTCTTGCTCATATCTATACACTGTCGGGCATCAGCAACAGCTTCAGGCACTCGGACAGTCATATTGTTCATATATTTCTTCAAGCAAATTTGACAGCCCAAACGTGATCTATAGAAGGGAAAAAGCATATTGTATGAATGACAATATTATAACATTCTACTACTGTAATATTACAATTATAGGTAATCCTCAACTTCAAACCATGCGCTTAGTGACTGTTCGAAGTTTCAATGGCACTGTAAAAATATATTGGTGGAGGATAAGAAGCTAAAATCTACTCAGTGTTATATGCAAGGACAAAAAACTGAAAAGACTATATAGAGTATATATTTAGCCTTAAGCCAATCTTTCCCAACTTGGCACCCTCCAAGTGTACAGGTTTAAAGACCCAAAATTCTAAACAGTAATCACATTGGCTGGGAGCTGAAGCACCTGTATCTGGAAAGAGCCTTGACCGGAAAAGACTAATTTAGATAATTCAGTTTGTTTTGCAGATTCACTTCTTTGCATATTTTTAGCTAGGAGAGAAAAGGTAAACTTTAAATTCCCTACATCCAATCTTTTTAACATATATTGTAATTAACTCTTTATTCTTTTAACTTTTTGATGCAAAAATGTTCAATCCTCTCCTGACTTGATAACTGATAATACTTTACAGATAAAAAGTAGATAGTAACATCAGCAAGGATAACAAACACACTAGCTACTGGGCACATTTGAAAATTTGAATTTTGAAAGTGGTAGAAAATATTCTACCAAAATGTCCATTAATGACAGGTACAGTGAGTATGTTCAATCATAAAGTGTTAATGAAGTTATGGTAATTCATACCGCATTTTACAGCACTCCCCCCTCCGCTCCCTATTATCCGAGGGCATTTTCGTTTTCTAAACAGGGAGCACATTTAAACAGAACTCTGGACTGCAGCTGTACACCATTCTCTACAAATGCTCATAAGCCTATATGCAGTGCAGGAATATTTTAATAAATAAAACAATCCCGAATTTATGATTTTTATATTTTTAATTGTATACCACCCAGAATCACTTTGTCACTGAGATGGGTGGTCTCCAAATCTGATGTATAAATAAATAAATCTCTTTTAAAATCTGAAAAAATTATTAAAGAACAGATGGAAAAGGGAGCATGATATCTGTCAAGAGGAATTTCCATGGGCAGATAGACACTGCTTGTCCTTGATCTAAGCAGGACGTGATCAATTGAATAAAAACAGTGAAGATATTCTCAACAAGTTAATGTTGATTTCATCTTACTTTTCTGTCAAGCCATAGGCAAGGTCCAGCATATCCATTTCTTCATCTGTAATTGCATCTAATTTTTCAAATACATGGTCTTCAAAGATTAAGTGACATGTAGAGCAGGCAAGTGTTCCTTCACATGCACCTAAAGTTAAATTAGGTACACATTTAATTCATTACCTTTCAACATCATTTTGTGTTCATCATTCAACATCAACAACATGATCCCATACATTAATGTGAGACAATCACCTCCGTACCAGAAACCTGGGAGTATATAAAGTGGGGAGAGTGAATGGAAGGACTGATGCTATCGCTTCCTGACAATTAACATTTCACAGCCATTATGGCAAACAATAAGTTTAAAGTGCTATGAAAGTTGCAACACAAATCAGGACAATTTTAATTCAACACATCTGAGGACATAAGGTTGAAGAAGGTAGTTACAATATTTGTACCATATAATTTAAAGATATAGTATGAAGCATCATAGGCATCATCAATTAGTAATGACAGATCAGGTTAATGTAGGCAGGAGATATATCTATGCCTATAATACAGATAACTACAGCTATAAAGTCAAAATAAAAAAGATACAACATGAGCAATAGTGTTGTAACAGCGATAGCATCTTTTAATTGAACAAGAATTATGCTAAAAATCAGAAGGATTTCATCAAGCAGGCAAATATTTAAAGCCTTAAATGTCAACGTATTATTTGTGTGCCTGCTATGCCCCCTAGTGATACAAAAAAGCTGAAACAGACCACATTTGCTTTTCTGGGCATTACCAATGTAATTGATCATTTGTTAAACAGGACTGAGAATTTTAAATGTGGATAATACTAAACTTTTCTATTTTACTTTCTGTATCTGGAATTTTAAAAAGTATGAGGTCTGTTTTAAGATGCCATATCATTGTTAACATATGTGTGTTAACATATGCAAATTAGTCTTTGAGGCTAATTTTTTGCTTTCTGGGAAATACCAAATTGGCTATCCCTCAATCCTGACATGTTTAGTTCTGTTAATCACAATTTATCTACCTTTTAAAATGTTTGCTGTTGTACTGCCTAAATGTTGCAAACTTCCATAACTCTCTGAAAAAGGCTGTATTAAAATATTTTTGAATAAACACATTTCAGAAAGTGATACTAGACTCAGTGCAATCCGTTAGAGAATTCTTGGGCTTCAAAGAAACCAAAACCAGAAGCATCACATGTCTGAGGCCAAAGAAGGTGGCAGGTTAAATGGTATAGCAAAGATAGCAATATAAAGAGAAAAATCACTATATGTGAGTCACATATTTTATTTAAGTCATAATACAGTCTGTTTGCTTTTGGCTTAGGGTTACTTGTGGAATCCTTATGATTACATCTATAAATGTTTGCTGATGTGCTACAATTATTTTAAAATTTGCTCCCATGTCCTGTCCAAAAATTATGATAAGAATATGGTTTAACACAATGTATAAATCCAGCTCAATGATCATTCAACGACCATTCAAAATTATGATGATGCTGAACAAAGAGACTAAGAACAAATGCCCGAAGTTACTGCTATTGCAGCACCCCTGCGGTCATGTGACTTGCAATAATGACCTTTTAGCAGTCCATTTGCAACTATGACAGTTTGGCAAGCTTCCATGATCATCATTTGAAATCTTTCCTGTCAGTTTTTCCAGAAAGTCAATGGAAAAATGTCTGCTTTAGGGATGGAACTTTTTCAACCCTTTATTTGGGAGCAAAGGGGCTGCTTGCCAGATTGATTTTATCCCGCGTGGGGCAGAGTCCCTCCCCACTAAGCATTTGGTTGCTCTCAAAGATGTTGGCTGAAAAAGTCCTTGGTGAGAGCCAAGTGGGATTTTGGCACACAGTGCTTACAGTATGGGTATTTGGAGCCAGCCTGTCAGACTGATTTTGCCTCACGTGGGTAAAATCCATCTGGCCACATGCAGCAGTTCTGTGCACAGAGGGGAGCTGCCTGCCCCGCTTTGGCAGGGAGCTCTTTCACTCCATCCACTTAATTACCACAAAGGGGAGAGCCGGTATTGTGGTTGTTGAGCAAGTGGGCATCTTGCTTAAAGACTGCAACGACTTAAAACCAATATTGCAGACTCAGTTGTGGTTGTAAATCAAAGAGTACATGTAGAAGAATAAACTACAATTCACTAATAGTGACTGATGCCAGAACAAACACATAGCTGTGGAAGAGTTACGCAAACCAACATTATTCTTTTTTCCTAATTTTAGCAAAAAATAAAAAAACTTATACTACTGCTTTTGTTTAGAAGTGGTTAACTTTGAATCACAAGTCACAGAGTTTCAATTCTTTTTTTTTTTTAAATCAACTTAAATTTCTTATAGGAAAGGAAATATATTTACTTACCAAATCCATCTATGTCTAGATTATTATCTATCACAACATCTAGAAGTGAATCTCCAACCTTTCCTTTGGCTGTTAATTTATCACCGTCACGATTTATAAAGTGCACTGTAACTTTCTCTTCCGAGCTGAAAAAAAAATTCAGTACCTTATTGTTTTCTTTTAATCCAACTTTTTACAAAATTGTTTTTCAATACAGTAAATATTGGTTTACGGAGACTAAATATATTTATTTAGAAAACGTATATGGCTTCCTGTCTTATACACGATAATCCTCTCAATGACATTCAACAGAAACAAAATAAAATCTCCAAACAAATGCTATAATGGAACTGTCCTCAGTCTTAAATACCAATAACAATAAAGCCAACTCCAAAACCCAACTCAATTCAAATCTCATATAAGAGGAATTAGGGCGGGAGGAGAAAGAGGGAGGAGGGGAAATGAAGACAGCATCATACAATCAGGGAAAGGCTTTCAGAAACAACTTTGTCTTCAACTACTTTCAAAACATCATCTTGATGAAGACGAAATTGTTTCAGAGAACCTTCCCCTGATTTTAGGATGCTATCCTTATTTCTTTTTGTCCCTGCCCCCACTATAATGTTTTTGTCTGGTACTGTTTGCTGTTGTTGCTGTCGTTTGTTAAATTCTTATGGGGTTTTATATGCTACTTTGAATGTTTGAATTCTTCTATTAAATTCTCTGTAAGCTGCTGAGAGTCTTTTTGATTATGGTTTAAAGGACCAATTTAAGGTGCTGGTTTTTAATCTTAAAGTCCTGTAAAGACTTGGTGTCTGTGTACTTGCAGGACCATTTTCCCAATCAAAATTAGCCTGCCTTGTATATTCATTCTTAAGAGAGGATGCTGTGGAACATTGATTAAAGACAAAATCACATTTATTCCTTATTATTCCTATGCAGTGTGTGTGTGTGTGTGTGTGTGTGTGTGTGTGTGTGTGTATGTAGAGCACTTAGCAATAGCACTTAGATTTATACACCGCTTCATAGTGCTTTAAAGCACTAAGCAGTTTACAGAGTCAGCATATTGCCCCAAACAATCTGACTTCTCCTTTTACCAACCTCAGAAGGATGATTAACCTTGAGCCACTAAGGATGGAACTCCTGGCAGTGGTCAGAGTCAGCCTGCAATATTGCATTCTAACCACTTCACACCGCGGCTGCTATACAATCTATGTCTATATAGATTCCTTGCTTGTGTAACTAAGATGGCAATCATAATTGCCAAGATGTCACTTCATAAGTCATCTCATCACAATAACAAGTATAATTTATGTTAGATACAGATTGGTACGCACTATGACCATTTAGAGTGGCAAAGAAATGCCAAGATTAATAAATCTGTATTTATTGTATAGGTGGATTAAGTTGAAGAAACAATAAGGCAAAATAACTAAAATGAAAGTATCACAACTTTGAACTTTGAACAGTTGAATTATTTCAATTCTGCTTCAATTCTGCTTCAATTCCTCTATCAGAAAAACCACTCAGCTCAGAAGTTAGAGACTGAGTATTTCCACAGCACCTATAATCATGTATTTTTCATATTCATACCTTATAGCAATCAAAGGCCTTCAGTAGTTTATATAATATAAAAACCATTTAAAACATCCTTAGTACAAACTATTAAAAATAAAAACAGCATAAACCAGGCATAATACAAACAATACAAAACAGAAATTAGAGATGGGGGGGGGGCTCTTTGAAACTTTTAATAATTTCTAGAACATCCATAAGGTTTTTTTTAGTAATTTTCAGAACATCAGTAAGGAGGAGGCTATAGCATGATCATTCCTGGGGGGGCTGTTCCACAGTATCTCTGGTGCCACTGAAAAGCTGCATGTTCTTCCTTCAGTTCTTTAAATCTCCTGAAAATGATCTCTAATCTCTAAGAAAAATGATCGCCTGTGGAATCATTTCTCTTCGTTTGAACCAACTGGTTTGACCAGTACTGGTTGGATTTTCTTTCTGGATATGCTGGATTCAGGCTATTGAATGCCTGTTTAGGCAATTTTTATTTATTTATTTATTTATTTATTTATTTATTTATTTATTTGCTCATAGAATGTAGGAGAATAACTGACCACAATGACTCATCTTGAAAACGGTAACAAAGCTTGAAATTGAATGCTATTTGAATGAGAAATCTCAGGAATGAAGACTAAACCAGAAAATAAAAAAAGTTTAGGCGGCAATAGTGTTGTTCCCAAGAGCGCACAGGTACACCTACACTGTTAACCAGACTCAAGTTTTAATTTGAAGGATACTTTATTTTACTTAGCTTTCTGATCTCAAATATATTTAAGTGCATACAAATGCATATGCTGATAATGTTTAATTTATTATTTCAATGTATATATATATAGCCATCTCAAATTCATGACTCTGGACAGATAATCCCCCATCATCTTTCCAGTCATTATTAGTGGCAGAGGAGTAGCAGTCACTGGTTGATTGTCAAATTGTGTGAATAGTGTATCCCAGCAAAATGCCAGCAGTTGATTAAATAGCTACCTAAGGGAACTAAAGCCCTCTGGGATGTCAGTCTTTGACTTCGTTTTCCTGTTTTGGCACTTTAAATAATCAAATTATTTAATCAAAGAACTGCAGAAAAAACAATTGCTACTAACCTGCTTTTCATTGAGGACCTGTATACTGCCTGAGTCAAAAAGGGGGCTGGACATAAACTGTTTCAACTCCTAGTCTCAAAACGACCCTATAGAGCACTGCACACCAGAAGAACTAGACACAAGAACAGTTTTTTCCCAAATGTCATCACTCTGCTAAACAAATAATTCCCTCAACATTGTCAAACTATTTACTAAGTCTGCACTACTATTAATCTTCTCATCCTTCCCACCACCCATCTCCTTCCACTTATGACTGTATGACTGTAATTTTGTTGCTTGTATCCTTATGATTTATATTGATATTGTTTCCTGATTGCTTATTTGTACCCTATGACTATCATTAAGTGTTGTACCTTATGATTCTTGAACATATATTTTCTTTTATGTACACTGAGAGCATATGCACCGACAAATTCCTTGTGTGTCCAATCACACTTGGCCAATAAAAAATTCTATTCTATTCTATTCTATTCTATTCTATTCTATTCTATTCTATTCTATTCTATTCTATTCTATTCTATTCTATTCTATTCTATTATTCTATTTTCTATTCTATTCTATTCCTAAACAACTATAACAGCAATAGAACCTAGACTTATATATCACTTAATAGTACTTTATAACCCTCTCTAAGCAGTTAAGAGTCAGCATTTTGCCCCCAACAATCTGGGTCCTCATTTTACCAACCTCAGAAGAATGGAAGGCTGAGTCAACCTTGAGCCGGTCAGAATTGAACTGGTAGTGAGCAGTTAGTTAGCCTGCAATACTGCATTCTAACTACTATGGCTCTTTTTAAGTCCAAATAACCTGAATGAAGCAGAAATCTTGCACAAATACAAAATATGCACTACTGTATCAACATGGGTGGGATCCAATCTGCAGAACTTGTATTCTTTTCATGTGTATAGGACTGGAGGATATTCCAGAGCAGATCTGGAATGCTTAGAGAATGTTTTTCTCTACTTTGCAAAAAGAAAGTGCAACTGCCAGGGAGTGATTACACAACCATAGGAGTAATCTTGCAATACTGTAGTGGCAAGTTTTCACTTGATCTTTTCTTCCCTCATTTGAAGTCCAATTTCAGCAATCCAGTTTAAAAGAACAAGATGGATCTTGTGGCCACGTGAGCACAAGACTTCTAGGCTTGCTTCATATCATGTGTGGGATTCATATTTGTTGACTGAATTGTGTTTACATTGAGAAACCATAATTACTAATAAAGGAGAACATTTGTAGCTCAGGGTTGACATGAGGGGTCCTTGGTGCTCTCGGAGCTTGCCTGTTTTCTTGCAGTAACAATGACTAGCACCAATGATGTTACCTAGTTTGGGTAATGAAACATCTGCAAGAAAACAAGCAAGCTCAGAGAGCACCAAGGCCCCATCAAACTATAGTTTGCTTTGCTTCACCTTTAACTCTCGAAAAATAAAGGCTAGCAATGTTACACAAGCAATTATTTTGTTTACATCATCCAACTTTCACATATGGAACAAGTAGGCATTTCCTAAGATGAAACTCTACACCTATGAAACTTTAGGCCATGGCACAGTTCATTGCAGCTTACTGACGAGCAGAGTTAGTAGGTTTTCATATTATATCCTTATACACTTTGCTAATTCATAAACAAACACATCTAAGTGAAAGTATGCTATTTAAAGCCAAAGTCACAAACAGGCAGATCCTCTTCCAGATTAGACAAATTCAAATTCAAATCTTGTCAATGCACAACATATGTACAATGAGATTGGTTGAGCTCCCTCAGTGCTCCCCCCCCCAACACAATACAATTCACAGTGAAGACAGAAAATCCCTAACCCAATAAACCATATTAACAAAACACCCAGTCCTATTGCACCAGTGTGAACATGTTACACATTGCGCCGGCCCTTGTATGGTTAACAGAACCACGGTTTATCTGGGCTCGAACAATGTATAAATTGACCTCAGGGGCCGCACTCGCACAACCCCGGGGTCACATTACACAAAGCCGTTGTCGCAGCCCAGGTACAACAATATTGCGTGGGTGACCGTGTCCAAAGTCACGGTCGGCATTTGCTGTGACCTCCGAGCCGGCCTAACCTAGCCCAGGTACTGCTTTACGCTTTTCTTCCACCAGCCAATCCCGGGATTTCCCCCTCATTTGGAGCTGTTAACCCCCTAGGAACGAGAGGAGAGGAGAGCGACCCCTGAGAGACACCCGTCGCCCCACTTCCAGCTCCGGCCGGGAAGGTTGACTTGGCGAAGAGAAAGGACGGAGCTCCTACCTGAGCCCCGTCGCCGCGTGGAAGGACCGGCAAGAGCCAAGGCGGGCCGCGTTATTCCAGCTACTGCCGTTCCGGAAAGGAGCCTCCAGGAGCCGCCAGCAAGAAGACGGCGCGGCTCGAAAGAGAAGACGGAAACTGCCTGAGGTGGCCATGCTGTAACGGCAGGCGACGGCGAATCCCCAAAGCCAGCGGAAAAGGCAAGCGCGAGCGACTTCCGCTTATTACTTGCCGAAATCCAAAGGTCGGTCCGTTCATCCAACCGGAATGCACGGCTGCTATTCTCATAGGTGTTTACGCTGCCGACGTCAGAGGGGCCGCGAAATGCGCGAGATTCCCTCGCTTTGGGAGACGGATTACGCGAATTACGGAAATGAAGCTTTCTGGGGCACCCATGCTAGGAAGAACGCGGGCAGAGCGAGCGCTTGGGCTGGGAATCGCGCATGCTCTGTTTACCCGGCTGATCCTCGTCTCCCTTTTAGTTTAGTTAGGGAGTTGGGAAATGTGTAACAGCGCAACAGTGATTTGTTTTATTAAGTATATTTAAACAAATGTCTAACCATGTCTTAAAGTTCTAACTTAGGTACTAAATGGATTTTATATGTTTTTTTTCTATTTCTAAAAGTGGTCTAAGTGTCATGATTAACAGATTTGTATTTCCGTTCGAGATCCATTACTTTGTAGTTTTGGATATTTGGATAACCTATCAATGCAGGGATTTTTTTTATTTTGTAATTTCAATTAAATTAGCATATGCAATTTTACACCAGTAGAGGGCAGAGTAAATCAAGGAAGGGAGCAACATAATGTGGGTTGTTAATGTGTAAGTATATGCATAATACTTAATGTCAAATGCTCCTGCTTCAACGTTTGTCATAAGAAGATACTTTTCCAACATATTGCCCCAACAATCCCTTCTCCCTGTCAGTGAATTCACTATCACATGTCAGCATAAAATTACCTTATTTACTGCCCTGATGTCTCCAAAAATGGAAGAGAGAAGATAGCAAATTTAATCCTAGAGACCATATGAAAAGAAAAATTATCATGCAGAACATATATGTAAAAAGCTAAATTACAGTTACTAAGTGTGGACAGAGAAAGAATATTAGATTTTCACTTACCCAGGAACTTGTGTTAGTTATGGAAAAATAAATTCCATAACTAACATAAGTTCCTGGCTGTTTGTTTATATTCCGCCTTTATTATTTTTATAAATAACTCAAAGCGGCGAACATATCTGACACGGCACCCCTTTCTCCTCCTATTTTCCCCACAACAACCCTGCGAGGCAAGTTGCGCTGAGAGAGAGTCACCCAGCTGGCTTTCATGGCTAAGGCAGTACAGGTAGACCTTGACTTTCGAGTCAATTGAGCCCAAAATTTATGTTGTTAAATGAGACATTTGTTAAGTGAGTTTTGCCTTATTTTACAATCTTTCTTGCCACAGTTAAGTGAAAGAGCCGCTTGGCTCTTTTGGCGAATGCAGAAGGGGCTGAAAGGGAAGAAGCCGTCTGTTCTTCCCCAGATTGATTTCAGAAGCCACTACCACTGCCGGCTCCAAGGACCAGCTGCTGGGCCTGCTGCTGCTGGAGGTTGATGGTGCCCAAGCTGGGCTGCTCTTCAGCCAGGCCAACAGGCTGTGGCAGGAGAGGCTCCCTGCACTGTCCATGCTGCTGCTGCACAACCTGCCGCTGCCCTGCTGCTGCTCTTGCGGCGGCTGCTGGCCAAGCTCTCACTGTGCCCTGGCCCCTGCATGCCCTGCCTGCTAGCCCTGCTGCTGCTGGCACACTTCTTGTCCATGGTGGACGCTGTACTGGCCACAGAGCGGCTGCCCATACTGCTGCTGGCTTCACTGGCTTTGCCCTCCTGGCCGGGCGGCTCCTGCCTGTCACGGGGCGAGTCAGCCCAGTCAGACTTTAGGAGAATAAGACTAGCCTGTACCACCCGACCGTGTGTGGGGGGGGTGCATGTGTGTGACTGGTATCAGAAAAGAAGCTCCAAGTGTCCTCCTTTCATCCCGAGTTGGAAGAATCACACAGTGAGGGACTGCTGCCTCAGCTTTCACAGACAACCATCCACCAGAGCTGGAGTGCCATTGGGGTTGGAAGTTCGATCGCGCCCCGCAAGGGAGCCTCCAGCCCTGGTAGATGGTTGTCTGCGAAAGCTGAGACGGAGCAGCCAGAGGAGGGAAGGAGAAAGCATGGACCTTCCTCGGCACAAAGCTTCACAATAGACAAAGCGCAAAAGAGCAACACACGCATGTCAATGTGAGTGAGTTTGACACCCATGTTCTAAACACATGCAAATGACCAGCTGTTTGCAAGGAAAATAAATCCTTCCATTCCCCACCATCCAGTCAGAGCTGAAGAAGCTTTGTGGATGATAAATGAAACATCTTCAAAGAAAAACAAGAAAGTCCAGTTGCCTCTTGAAAAAGCACCTTTGAGACAGGGATCACCAACCTTTCGGATCTCAGGGATCACTAAATTCATAATTTTAAATCCTGTGGACCACTAATATGATCTGCCTAATGACTGGCTGGGTGGGTGTGGCTAGGTGGTCATGTGACTGGGTAGGCATGGCCAATTCAATGTCACTCATGTTGAGGGGCGCCTTGCCGGCCTCTACTCGCCCCTCCCCTCCCAACCCCTCCTCACCTGCCTGCCCGGGCTACTTAGGGCCCCAACAGGAAGCAGTTGTTGGAGATAAGCAGCCACCAGAGAAAGAGCTGGCAAAATAGCTGGCTCAGTTCAAATTGGATCTAACTGAGGAGGAGACTCAGCAGAAGCACCTCACTGAGGACTACGAGCATAGGCTTTCCAAGCAGAGGGAAGACCTGCGGGAGTGCAAGGCCAGGTATTAGTGCCTGGAGGCTCAGCGGGCTGAGATGGCCAGCCAGTTCCAGGCCATGATGCAGTCCCACTGGAACAAGATCCTCTGGCTCTTCACCACCAGCGGTACTTCCCTCCAGCCTTTGCCCAAAGCCCCGCACCAGGAGGCCGAAGCAGACCCCAAGTTGGAATTTCTGCCCCCCTCTGACCCGCACAAAAAGACCCCGAAGGAGGAGACTTTCTGCAGTAACACAAATGTTCATTGCATGTACCCACCCAGGGGCCGTAGTTTGAGGACCCCTGATTTAGTGCAATATAAAAAGTGCAAATATTTTTTCTGTGGACCACCAAAATTTTCTCATGGACCACCAGTGGTCCACGGACCACCAGTTGGTGACCGCTGATCTGGATGACTGAGAATCACCATAGACATCCTTACATTGTTGATGAATGATTATGTTCTGCTTAATTGAGTTACTGTTACTAGCAGCACGTGTTCAAAAAGCAATTTGGTCCAAATCTGTTCCAAAGACAAAGAGTACTTGCTCATTCAAATTTGGAAAACAAACAGAACAGGTTATCTGGAAACAATCTTTCCCATTCTGATGCAAGCAAGTATTGTATTTAATTACATGAACATTTAGCAACAACTCCAGATGCTGTGCTGCAATGCCTATTATCCCTCACAATAAATCATGCTATCTAGGCTACTTAGAGGTGGAGTTCAGTAAAATTCATTACTGAATTATGGGAAGAATTTCCAATTTGCATCTATATACATAATTTATATGCAAGTTGTCTTTTACTTTGGAAGTGTATTATCTTTCCATTCTTTTCTAAATTAGTAGCTATTAGTAGTTAAATTAGTAGCTATTGTGACTACTACTACTATCATTCAAAGTGTAAGACCTCAGCCCAGAAGCAAAAACTCTTCTTTTCAAATAGAGATATCTAGAGAGATTGCTTGGCCATTCCAATGCATTTGTCATAATCAATGCAATTTAGGGCGAGCCTACAGACTAGATTAAAGAAATTGTGTGTCCCTTGCTTCTATCTGCAGTTTTCCTATTGACTTGGTGTAATAAAATCCTTGATACATATTCAAATAATAAAAGTAAAGAACTAATGAGTAGTAGGCTGGTATGTTTAGCTAACATATCTTAACTTTATTTGTGCAAGGAAGGTCCATTTATCAGTTCATTATTTTGCAACAATCTCTATTATGTATAGCATGATTACAAAAGCCTTTTCTCTGGCTATCTGACAGAACCATTGCATTTTGCTATGCAGATTTGGAATCAAGTTATGGCTTGGCTCAGCAAAGCTTTTAGTGCCACATTTTCATACAATTTTACTCAGCAATTGCATAGGACAATTGTGGGGCATGCAGATCATGTTTAAGATGAACATCAATATGCCTAAGACACCTTCATGGGCAACTACTGAATAATAATTTATTTTTAGGCTCTTTTAGATTGCATCTTGTTTACTCTGTCTTCCACAGACAAAGATAGACTGGGATGATAATATCTCAGAAGGTTAATAAGGGGATACATAAGAAAGAGCCAAAAATATTTTGTGACTGACTATACTCCAACTGGCATTTACTTGGAAGCTGGAGCTCAGGTAAAAGTGAAGCACTAAAATATTAAATATATCCCCCAGTTCAAGAAATTCATATCTGAGAAATATCTTGTTCAATCTGTCAAAAATATCAATTTAAGGCAGTTTACTTCACAATTAACTGCCAAAGGAAAACCCACAAACATAAAACAAGGCCACCATTCTTCAACAACTACTATTTGGAGCTACAGGTAGTGTTCTTTATGGTCTGTAAAGCACTTCCTGTTGTTGTAAAACATTGCACTCACCCACCCATCCTTTCACATAATTGTGATATGGATACTTGACAAACTGCACTTATGACCAGTTGCCAAGTGCCCACCATTTGCAATCTTCTCAAATGTTATTGTTAGCTAATGAACACCTCATTTTTCTTCTGTCCACTGCTGAGAGGAAGTAAACTACATTTTATTGAAGAATGCCTAACTCCAGACAAATGTGGGCATCCTCAACCAAGATATTTAAGCAGGCAAACAAATGAAGAAAGGCAAGGGAAAGTGAAAATAGATCAATCTAATTATTGATGTAGGTGGAGCCAAAATTGGCTGTGAGTTATCCATATAACAGAACAATACAAATAAAATCGAAACAGAAACCAATAATACAAAGTGACTTGTCTTAAAACTGATGGCTTTGTGTGCGTATATATCCATATATTGCATTAAGCCAACAGTAGCAACAATTAAAAAATTGGGTAAGCCAGTCTTTCCCAATCTTGCCCTCACTAAATACAGTATATTAGCACTAGCAGTTGTACAATTCTCCAGCTTGTTAAGCCTAGTGGAAAAATTGTGTTAAGCCATAATGCAGTCTGTTTGGTTTGCACTTAGTGTAACATTTGATCTTAACCAGAGTGACTTTTAAACCAGATAATTCCATGACTGAGTAAAAGCCAAGATTCATAAAAACTGTTATTTAGGTTAACACCTGAATCCAGCTCCTGACCTGCAAAGGCCTCATTAGGTTAATTTTTGAGATTTTATTTGTTGAAAAAATTAACATCAGTGGTTTGCATGTGAGCAACTGCAACATCCAGTGAAGCTGCACTAGGAATGCTTCCAGATAGATGATGTCTATCAATCCAAAAGCATTCTGTACCTTCTCTATGTCTCCCTTCTTGTGGCAATTCCCTTGCATCCTGTGGAAAAAAAGCACACAAGTGTGTTAGATGTCAGGGTTCCAAGTAACACCCCCAACGAAATCAAACTCCGAGGCTTGAAGTTCCTCAAAGCTAACTTTTATTAGAGATGTCATATTGGCACATCTGGGAAAACCTGAATCTGAGAGCTTCTTGGTTTTCCACACTCAAAAGAAAGTTCAAGACCTTGCCCCTCTCCCACATGTCCACCACACATCCAATCAGGTACCGTCTTGAACAGAAGATACCTCCTCATTCTTCTCAACACAGCTGCAGGGCACCATGGCCTTGACTTCCTATAAAGAATTTTATTTTAATTACATATCTTCTTCCCTCTATGCAATCCCCCCTCCCAATTTCCCACAGTAGGATTTGTGGCAGGCCTGAAGGCACAAAGGTAGAAAGATGGCTTCCAGGTCTGACATTAGAAATGGAAAGTGTTGTTTGGGTGCCCACTATACAATTCTTTTAATCAGGTAAAATGAATGTTTCATCCAGAAGCATCCATTGAAAGTCAAGACATATTGGCCTAAGGGCAGATGAAATCTCTCCCCCCCCCCCGCCCATCAACACTAATAAATTGGCATCTTTTTGTCAATTCTCACCCCTCCTCTTCAGAATTCCCCTAATTAGAAATCCCTATACCCAATGAGAGAAATCACAAAAGGTTTTTTCGGAAGAAAGTAATTGATTAGAAACTGGAAATGATGTTTGCCAGAAACTCAGCATTATGAGCTAGAAAATATTGACCACTCTATTTCAGAAACAGAATGAACTGTTCCGACATATCTACAGAAACTAATCCTCTGCTTATTTTTGTGTATATTTGTGAAATCAAGGAAGGATTGTTCGATGCTCATAACAAGCTATTAAAATCATCTATTTTACAGAGAAAGGGACAAAACTGTGTTCTTTTTTGCATCAGTCATCCTATCTGCACATCTTAGCTTTACAAAATGTTCTACATTTCATAGCCAATGTTAGTTCATATAGTGAATGAAATTGCTGCTGCAGTTGTGCCACTTATTTCCTTATCTGCTACATTTCGAAAGCATTTATTGACTTTAGATTATTATGTTTATATGGTTGTAATTTTAAAGCTTTATGAAACAAGCAGTGCACGGTGTGTAGACATACAAGACAATTTATATTATCTACTATATCCACAATTGTAAATCTGTTATATTGATTTAAGAGATTTGTTTAGCCTGAGAGAGTAGATAAATATTATTTTAAATAGCAGGCTAGCCAAAGTTATATGACAAATGAATGGTACTTTTTGATATGTTGCATTACCTTGTAAACCTGTCTAGAAAATGATGATCTATAATAAACAAAAGACAAAATGTTCTTATTATTTTAAACTGAACAGGAGAATTACACCTATGCTTAAAAGTCCATATTGATTTAAGAGAAATTGAGAATAAACAGAAATCTGGGAACATTTACCAGATCAGTGATTTGAAAATATTGTAGTATCATTCCATTCCAAAAGAGTATATATTGTCAGGCGCAAAGAATCAGGACCATTCATAAAGTTGCAGCACAGATTCATTCAAGCCTATGTACAAGAATCTGGCCAACTAAAGTTCAGCAATAAATTGGTGCCAGAGGAGGGTCAATGGAATTCAGGAGGGATTGGACTTGGACTGTTTGTAGGAATGTAAAGTCTCTAAGCTGATGATACACTTAACTCTGCCCACAAGCAATGCCTGCTCTTCTACCTATATATAGTGAAATGAGGACTGCAAATATTTTTTTAAAAAAACCTTGTCTTCCTTGTATGTGGAAGAGACACTCACTACTTTCCTTTTTTCTTTTTCTTTTAAAGATATCAGCCTGTCCCCAGGTGATAGATCAGAGATGAGATCTGTGTAGACAAGTCCTATTTGTTTATGGAATTCATAGCAGGAATATTATATATATAGTAAAAATACATTTGCTAATCTTAACTATCATTCAGAATATACACATATCATTGTCTTCCAACGCAAGCAAAATTACTACTTTTATGTTTTTTTACCATCTTATTAATCAAATAAGATCAAAAGCCCACAGAGGTGAGCAGAGTGCTTTTTCCTTTTGCTCCCTGCTTTCTGCAAAACACTAGCCCATAAATAAATAAATACAAATATTCCGTTCTTAACTATTGAATCTCCCAATTTATTGTACAATTAGCCTCTAGAAATGTTTCTGTGGAGAAGTTAGAAATATACTTGTCTGCATAGATTTAATTTACAGTTTGCTTAATCACATCATGGTGAAAAAGCCACAATGAGGTGGGTTTATATGCCAAGGTGAACTATGGTTTACAAATCATAATAATACGATTCAAATAACAGACAATGCAACATTTTGCTTAATTGTAGTTTACTGAGCAATCCACAAGTGGCTGGATTTATGCAACATGATATCCACAAACCACAGCTAACAAGGGACAGTGGCTTAGATTCACAAAGCAAGTCAAAAATCAAACTAAGTGTATTTTAAAAAGACCCAGAGACCATATGCTATGTTTTTGGAAAGTATTAATGGATTATCAATGGGAGGCTATTGTAAAAATAATAAATCCCTTAAAAAGCTTTTGTCAAATTATTTCTGCCTAAACCCTCTAAATTCATTAAAACTCCCCCCATGGGGGTTAAAGGTAGACAATGACTCAAATGGCAAACTGATGTCCTCCAATTGTTCTGAATGAATGTTCCCACAATTGCTTGCTAGTACACATTCAAACAAGAGCTGATAGGACTTAAAGCCCCTCTCAAATCTAGAGGCCACTAAATCCTCCTGAAGTACAGTATTTAGTATGCACCAGTAGGCTATAATGAAGATGTGACTAAGATTGCATCTTCAAAGAAAGAACACTTAGTTTCTATTCAAGGCCAGAGAAGTTGAGAAAGGAAACCACAGACACAGTTTTCATCTTACCCACAATCCCAAAGTATGAGACAGCAGCATTAGATAATTGTTCTTTAATAATATAGGCAATATTTCTAGATGGTAGAGCTAAATTACCTGATAGATCAAATCAGGGTACATAAGACTTCATCTGAATTTAGAGTGTTGCTGAAAATATCAGCAATATTCTAATAGCAAAAATATAGTCAATAGGACAGACTTGGTGCTAAAGTCTTGTTTCATCTTTCCTCAGGTTTAATACTTAATAGTAGTGAATTTTTAGTATATTTTGCACACAAACTAATATTTATTCAGGACAATAAATTATAAAAAAAAATTGTAAACCTCCAGCATAAAACATAGCAGCCAATTTTGCACATATCTAAAAATATTTGTCAGAAAGCATACCTGTCTTTGATTAGCTATTCTGAATGGCACAATTGGGCAATTTGATTTTTCATCTTTTGCTGAGTAACAGACTCTTAATTTGTAATAAGAGAAATTACAAACCCAGGACCTCCCAAAAACAGTTAATGGGGGGGGGGGGGAGACTACTAATAGCATCTAGACTAAATCGAAGAAAGAACAAGATAACAAAGGAAGATTAGGAGGCAAGGCAACAGCACTGTTAAGGCAAAATATTTTGTTTCTGAAGGAATGGTAAAAAGCAGTGTGTGTGTGTGTGTGTGTGTGTGTGTGTGAGAGAGAGAGAGAGAGAGAGAGAGAGAGAGAGAGAGAGAGAGAGAGAGAGAGAGAGAGAGAGAGAGAGAGAGCCCCAAAGTCATCTATTGAGTTTCCATGAATGAGAAACTAGTCTTTCTTCTCGCTCCATAATTACTGTTGGTTTTCGTACCAATGCAAAAATATTTGTTCCTACTGCAGCGATTTGTTTTGCGAATGGCCATTAACAGGATACAGGCCATTAATTAGAAACTATAATATACATAAAAGAGGTATAAGATTTCGTGCAATAGCGTAGAAGACAACCAAGTCTCTGTTAAGGGAGACTTTACATTTCTTTTTCTTAAAACTCGCTCTAAAACGAACGGGACCGACGCCTTGGGTTGGCCGGGCCATAAAATAAAGTCTCAAAAGGGAGCAAGGACTTTGAACCCATCGCATCCCCTGCTTTTTCAAAAAGGCTAACCAGAGACCGTTTACTGTCACCACCTACCACGTGACCCCCCATTTGATTCTGAAGCCGCTCGCGGCAGCCAAACGACCCCACCTCTTCGTCTCTCTCTCTCCCTCCCCCCCCCATCCCAACTTTCCAACTCCCGTTTCCACAGAGATACTTCGGAGGCGCAGCTTCATCCCGCCAAAGCACGCATGCTTCCGTCTCCGTCCGCGCATGCTCCGTGGCAAGACGGAGGCGCCAACCGCTGTGATAGGGAGAAAAAAAAAAATCTCAAAGGGTGCCGCCATATTGCGGATCTGTCAGCGGACGCGGCGCTGCCGCAAATCTAGCGAGCCCCCTGAGGGAAACAGCTCGCCGCCGCGGCCCATCGGAGCGTCTCCGCAGCGCTACCGGGCAAGGCTGTGCAAGCGACGTCTCCGGCCCGGTTGTCGTTTCCCCACTCAGGTTGACTCCCGTGTCAGTGTCGAGACCTTCGGGAGCAAAGCATCCGACGAGAGCTGGCCGCCCCCGGCGCCTCAGTTCGGCAGGTGAGAGAGGCGAGTCAGGCGGGGAGAGAAGTTAGGCGCTCGTGTTTATCGTGGCGACCACTAGGCCGCTCTTCGCCTTGTCCCTACCGCCGGTATCCCTAAAACCCTCGCAACCTGGCGCTCTCCAGAAGTGGCGGACTAGGGCTGTCCTCACGCCAGCTTGCTTGAGGGAGGGAGCTGAGGTCCACAATCCGCTCTGGGGCAGGCAGCTTCCCGCCATGCAGGTCGCAGTGGGATGTGTAAAAAAGCGGTGCTCGCTGTCTCCGGTGATTTATGAAGGGCGGCGAGCGTTGCTTTTCCTTTGCCCACCGCGATTTCTCCTCCTCTTTAACCTGACAGCGAAGCATATTCCCAGCGCTCCCTTTCGCCGGATTAACCTCTCCCCCCCCCACTTCCCCTTCCCCGCATTTTCCCTTTAGCCCCTCAGGTTAAAAAAAAGGGTGTGTGTGTGGGATTAATATGTTCGCTGCAGATTTTGCATCACTCATCCATAAAGTTAGCTAGAATAAAGTATGGATATTCAAATCGTAGGGTTTCCCTTCGCCGGAGATGCCCGCGAATTTATTTTTCTTGCGGATAGATGCGGGTTGGGGGGGGGAAGGGTAGGGTAGGGGGGCACCTGAAGTTAGAAGAAATGGGCTAAATATGAATCGTATCAGGCGAGGTTTGGTGGAATAAGTGCTCTGAGACATAGCAGGTTTTGCTCCTAAAAGAAGAGCTTCTGATTCTTAATCGTATATGTGCTTACTTGGGAGTATGTATTCACTATTACATCTAGTAAAGGCAGCAATAACTCTAGATAACTCTATTAGGAAGCAGATTGCATTAAGACTTGCTTCTCAGTAATTACTCAAGGAGTGAAGTTGCAAGATTTCTAGCACTGAAGTTTCTGTACAAGAAAGGGGTTGGGATATACAGTATCGACATCAAGCAATTTTATCTGTGTTTCCAAGGAAGATCTAGATATTGTTTAGATACTCTTTCTTTTTTTCATGCTGCTAGTAAAATCATAAGTGGTTAATGAAAAAGAAAAGGGAGCTAAAATATTTCCCTCATGTACCTTGACTAGTTGTAAATGGGGACAAGTACATTAACATATTTATTAACAAATATTGCAGAGTTCAAACATTCCGAGTTTATGATGCTTTCATTTCAAACTTGAAGGAAACTTTTTAAAAATCTGAGATAATGCTTTCCATCTTACTAAAAGTGTTCTGACATTTTTTTAAACCAGTCTGAATGTGTTTCTTACCCGAAAGAGCCATGTTTTGCATTCAAAAAAGGACATTTGAACTTAGAACTTTTATGGAATGGTGAGAATGACATCAGTATATTTGGGGCAACCTATTTTGAACTTGAAACACTTATATATTTTTGAGTTTGAAATATTTCAGTTAAACTGTGTTGCACCCCTGTGGTCAACTCTGCCAAAGCTGTACTCAGTTTCCTGTCATTCACTATATTAAGAAGCAGGGAGAAGTCTAGAAGATTTGCTAACAAGAATATTGCAGAGAGAAATGTTTCTCCAGATTCTAATTGACTTCCTTTGCCTTATTTGGTTTTACTGGATTCGGTTATTTCAATCCAGCATTAAAAAGATGAAGAGTTTTGAATTTTAAAGTAAAGGTATAGGCTTCCACTGATCAGTTGTGTTCAGCTCTAGGGGACGGTGCTTATCTCCTTTTCCTAGCCGAGGAAGCCAGCATTGTCAAGACACTTCTATGGTCATGTGGCCAGTATGATTATACACACACAGAACACTTACCTTACCACTGAAGTGGTACCTCTTTATCTACTTGCATTTGCATGCTTTCAAACTGTTAGATTGGCAGGAGCTGAGGCAAGAACAGGAACTTACCCTGTCACATGGTGTTTGGTCTCAAACGCCAACCTTCTGGTTGACAAGCCTAGTGTCTTAACTGCTAGGCCACCATGCCCCTAATTTTTATTCCATGGTAAAGTCTTAATTTTACCCCATAATAAAACATCAGGAGTACTACAATAATTAAGTCAGGTGTCCTAATTATATAACAAATAGACACAGTTGTGAAAACTTTTATAGTTTTACAAAATTCTACATATACAAAATGTTAGTTCTTCATTTAGTTTGGCAATGAGCATCCACTTGCGGGTTTATGATAAAACCAGAAAAAATAATTTAATAAAAATTACCTTGTATGAAACTGTTCCAAAGTGATGGCCTGTTGTAGAAAACAAACAGTATTTTATTAATACCTGGTTTTAATATATTCAATTACATAATGAGTATAGACTGCTTGAAAAATTTGGTTGTAATACTCTTGTTCAAGTCCCATTGACCTACGTGTCAATTTTAAGTCCATAATTCTTTTGTGCTTTAAGAATAGAACAGCACCTGCAATGGATGACAATATAGTCTATGAAATGCATTTTAAAAAATATCTCTCCTGCTTTATTTTTTGTAAAATAGTAGAAGGGGGAATTTCAGGTATGAAGACTGGGTTTAAACTTTCTCTTGTGTTCCCTTAACAAAAATCTATATTGCTTCCTATCTGTATTACTATTTTATTTCTTTGAGGGAAAGTGGGCAGGAGTGCAGATAGCAGCTTCAAGAGAGGTTATTTTTGAGGGGTGGACTTTATCACAGGAGAAATTACTTCTTCCCATGGCTGTTACTAAACGTAACATTTAGATAATGTTTAATTCACTAATTTATTAAATATACCTTTTCCTTAGCTCAAGAATCAATTGATTTCAATCAAATGTCTATTTTGGGAAAGTCACAAGGAGAAAATAAAAACAATACCCTTCACATTTTGCTTCTGGCAATTGATATTCAAGGCATAGTCTTCCTAAATATGCTGATAGAATGTTTTTCTAGATCAGTTTTAAATCTGTCCTTTGATAATTAGTTTTAAGGTCTCAGCCCAATTCACCTCATAAGGTGGTTGTTACAGAGAAAATAGGTGAAGGAAGGAATATTAGGTATGTTTGCCATCTTGAGTTATTCATAAAAAAAGAATAGAATTAAAAAAAAAGTTAATTATACAGTCTGTGAAGAAGTGATTCTTTTATAAATATTCTGAAAATCCTATTTCCTTTTGGGGTGAGATAGCTTTGTATTTTAATATTAATATGAATGAAGGATCTGTTGACTCTTTTATCATATCGATAAAATCTTGATATGTGCGGGTTACTTTCTTCATCTCTGAACCCGGATTTTTAGTATGTTGACTATAAACAATAATATAACAGATACTGTACCTGCCAGCATGCTTGTCTCTCCTAACTTTTCTAATATATATTTAAAATATTTAAAAATGAATATATGAACAATGCTGTAAAGCAAAGTATCAGCCTCCTGATACATGAAGAATGCATCTAAACTATCAGTAATGGCTATAACCCAATGCTTATTTTGGAAGGCTATTTTCCTTTCTAGAAAAAAAATCCAAGGAAAACTAGTGTTTATAGGGAATATCCTGAATGGTAGAAGGCAACTTCACCTCTTCATGTACATGCTTTGTAACTAACTATTCACCATTGCAAGATTTTTGTAACAATCAATATAATATGCTGTAGAAATTGATCTAATGACTCAAAAAAGGTTGTGGATATCTTCCCTGAACTAAAAAGCCTTTGAGCCTAATAATGAAGAAAATCTTTTTTTTATAAAAAATCACTAATACTGTATTAAAGGTAAGACAAACTCAATAGTATTGTAGTAAGGCAAATATTTTTACACAATTCTGTTCAATTTGTTTTAAGGCATGAAATTAAGAATTTTAGTTTATTGTAATTTTTTTTCACTGAGTTACACACAAAGATAGCAATTCAGGCCCTTTGTGAACAAAGTAAAATGTTTGAGATGATTTATCCTAAAATTAATCACTTTATATTTTTCATTGGATTTCATTTGTGATACTGAATAGATTATTCATCCAAATTTGTAAATATCTTGTTGATAATCCATGAGATTTTTAACCTGTTTTTTAAAAAATTCAGTTAATTCCCTTCCCCCTCTTCCAGTCACATTACAGATATATGGGCCATAATTTTAACCAGTTTTAGTCTCCCAAGGCCTGTTCTTGTCCCTGATTTTTAGGAATGTATGTTTAGAATCTCAGTTAATTACTTTTTAAAAACCCTTATTCTAGCTATAGATTCACACTTTTAAAGTACTGTAAAAAACTGGATAAACAGGTTATATATATTTTTAATTGTTTTTTAATATTTGTATTTCATGTTCTTAATTCTGGCTGTACACCGCCCTGAGTCCTCAGGGAGAAGGGCGGTATATAAATTGGAAATAAAATAAATAAATAAATAAATTATTTTGCGCAAGCTTTTTTTTTCTTTAAAAACTTGACATACTAAATGTAACATTAATAGCATTTTGTGGTGTCTGAGAGAAATGAGCTACTAATTTCTGTTTTATATGGTTTATTATGATGTTGGAAAATGTGTCTCATTTTAGCATCTAAAAGATTGGTGTAGGTGTTATGGAATTTGAAATGTTAAGCTTTGTTTATAATTGACACTGAGGAATCCAAAGCATTTTTTCTAATTATGGCTTATAAGATACTAGTTTCAAAGAGCATTGGGAATAAAACATAAAGATTAACACATACTGGAAAATAAAATAAGTGCTACTCTGATTACATGAAGATCTACGTCTGGATAATGGCAATATATATTTAAAAATATCTTAATGTTTTCAGTAAATTTCATGTGACAGATAAAAGTACAAATGATGATCAAACAATTCTTTTTCATCTATATCAGGAGTGTCAAACTTGATTTCATTGAGGGCTGCATCAGGGCTGGGGGCCGGGTGGGTGTGGCTGAGGTGGGTGTGGCCAGCTCAACGGCACTTGTGTTGGGGGCACCGCTACCAGGCTCCATTTTCGGCTGCGACGGCCTCCTGCAGTGCTCTGCCAGTGAAAATGCACGGCCCTCCCGAGTTCCGTTTTCACTGGCAGAGGCACTGTGGGCCAGTCCTTCACTGTTTCCAGGGCGGCCCCATGGGCCAGATCTAAGCACACTGTGGGCCAAATGCGGCCCGCGGACCTTGAGTTTGACACCCCTGATCTATATAAATACTGATTTTTAAGAATAAGGCATATTGCATTTTAAACTATTTTAATATAAAATCCAAAAGTATAACTAGAAGTTTATGCCATCCAAGTTGTTAAGTATATGAGCCAGCTGATCAACAAGTAGCATAACATATTTTTGACAAAAAATCATTATAATGTACTAGGCTTGAAAATGGTGGTCAAATAATTTTTTTGATTACAGATTAAGAATGTTTAGAGGATCTTCCCATGGGTCTTAGAAGTTAATTGGGGAAGAATGGAATAGGAATAGGAATAGGAATAGGAATAGGAATAGAATAGAATAGAATAGAATAAAATAGAATAGAATAGAATAGAATAGAATAGAATAGAATAGAATTCTTTATTGGCCAAGTGTGTTTGGACACACAAGGAATTTGTCTTTGATACATATGCTCTCCTACATAAAAAGGAAAAAGAAAAAAAAACACATTCATCAAGAATCATAAAATACAACACTTAGTGATAGTCATAGGTTACTAATAAGCAATCAAATCATACTAGGAAACAAACAGAACAATATAAGTCATAAAATTACAAGCAACGTTATAGTCATAAGTGAGAGGAGATAGGTAATAGGAAGGATCTGTGAATTCAGATAAAAACTTGCAAGACAATTGAGGCCAAAATTTCGCAAAGTGAGTAAGTAATTTGCAACTGAGCTTTGCCCCATTTTACGAACTTTCTTGCCACAATTGTTAAGTAAGTCATGTTGATCACATGACCATGGGGATGCTGCAATGGTTGTAAGCGTGAAAAATCGTCGTAAGTCACTTTTTTCAGTGCTGTTTTAACTTTGAAAATTGGTTGGAGTACAAAGAAGGGGAAAGTTAGAAAGTTAGAAATTAAATATTTACTTCTATTTTAAGGGTTGGTTATTATAAACAATATAGTAGAGATTTTGTCCACTAATTTTTGTTTTATAGGAAGCTGAGGGTGGGGGGGAGAAAGAATATATGATCAAAATTCAATTGTAAGATCCAGCTTTTTATAATTAAAACTTCTAATTCAAAAAGTACTACATTATGAAGTCTGAATACGTTTACAGCTTATTCTTCCATTAAAACATAGGAACTAGATGAAGAATAGTATACATGTATATTCTTTTACTCAGGTGAACTATTGTAATTTGGAAAATTACTGTATGAATATTTCACAATAGATTAATATAATATAAACTATATATAATTATTTTGTTTTAGCAGAAGAAAAGACAAGACTGAGTAAGAAAAAGAGAAGAAAAGAAAAGGAAAATGCCGAAACCAGTAAGTAATCCATATGGAACCTTATTAGCATTTGATAGACTTTTAGTTCTTATAATCCCTAAATTATCCCTAAGGAATAGAGTTTACAAAGTGAAGGAGTATCTACCTATTCCAGTATACCCAAAGTATCTTTTTTCGTTTGATCCCAAATAATAGTGGTAAAGCCGCTAAAACAAAACAGAATAGAGTTTTCCTGTGTGCTTAGTGATTTCCTTTGTCTCATCCTCAAAAAAGCTATTTCTGTGATGGAATGTGCACCTAGAGAGGCAGTAAAGACAATTTGGCAGCAAAGAGCTTTCCCAGGGAGAAAGGAGTATATTTTAAAGAAAAGCACGAATTAAGAGACTGCAATCCTGAGCTGGATGTGGGAGAGGTAAGAGGTTCAGGATAGCCACACTGTTCTGACTTTCTGAGAAAGCCTAAATCACAATCTTAGTCCAAAAAACTCCCTCTTTTATTGAGATGGCTGTGAATTATGGTCATTCACAGCCTGTGATGATTCACAAACAGTCTATGAAGATTCTGACAGATGTCTCTCGAGTTGACATAGTCTTTCAGGGTAATGTTGATAAGCACTCACCTTTATCTTCCTTGAAATGCTGCCAGAGACCTAATTGCCAATTAGTTTTGCAAGGTCAAACGGAGCACAGAGTCAAATGAACTTCTCAGAACTTGAATTGACTATATGAACCAATTGTTTCCTGCAAAGGCTCACGTCCGTTTGCTCCCTTTTATGTTTTATGGGAGGGGCCAATCATCTCCAAGCCTTACTCCCGAGTCGCCCTTGTTTTTCTTAATTGTTCTTGCCTTCTGACAGCTCTGCACATGCGCACACTGGGAACAGGCTCACACTGTTCTTCTGCCTTGCTGATGTCAGGTTCTGGAGGCAGCACATAACTACTAGATGGCCCGGGCCCCCTCTCTGCCTCTGACGCAGAGCCCTCGTCCGAGCCTTCCCCAGACTTCAGGACTGGCCCATGTTCCTCCCCAACCTCACTGTCCGAATCTGCTGCCAGCTCTGTTGGCTGCTGGTGGACCACAACACATACCCTAAACTTTCTCAGAATCTATCTGTTAGGGTAGAGAATTATAGCTTACATTTGATAAGATTCTGTCCATTATGTGTAGGGATCGGATTTGATTAAATTTTGCTGTGTTATCTTTGGACTTGGGCCTGACAATTTTCTGAATATTTGTGGCATTTTTCTGAAAGCATTTAATAAAGGTATTTTTTTTTGTTAATGATGGCTCTGCTTAGCAACTGTTCAAATTTGCAACAGTGCTGAAAAAGTAGCTTTGTGACAGTCTTTGAATTTATGACTGTCTCAACGTCCCTGTAATCACATAATTGCCATTTGAGTGCTTTGCAGCAGTCAACAGGCTTTTATGACTGTCACAGCCATTCTGCAGTCACATGATCACCATTTGCAAGCTTCACAGTCAGATTCTGACAATCAAAGTCAATTTAGATACTTGCAGTAAGTTGCTAGTTGTGGTCCAGTGACATCACACTTAACGATTATGGGTGATTTGCTTAATGACCACAAGGGACTGAGCCAGTGGTGAAATCCAAAATTTGTTACTACCAGTTCTGTGGGTGTGGCTTGGTGCGTGTGTGTGTGGGGGTAATGTGAATGGGTGGGCGTGGCCAATTTTAAAAAACTTTTAAAACCATTTTTTTCTACAACCTCTTCGGCGAAGAGGTTGTAAAAAAATGCTTTCAAAAGCCTTTGAGGATCCCAGCTGAGCTGCGCGATCATCAGAGGCTTTTAAAAAAACTTTTAAAAGCATTTTTTTGGCCAAAGAGGTTGTAGAAAAAATGCTTTTAAAAGTAAAAAAAAAGCCTCTGATGATTGTGTGGCTCAGCTGGGTATGGGGGGGGCAGAGATTTTTGCTACCGGTTCTCTGGACTACCCGCCTCCATCACTACCGGATCTGGTGATCCGGTCCGAACCGGGAGCATTTCACCCCTGGACTGAGCTAAATCTGCCGTGGTCACTTGATGCTATGTTGCTTAACAACAGTTAGCAGTCCCATTTGTGGTTGATAAGTGAGCTTTACCTATAGTGTTACTATGTTTATGTGGGGGAACAGTAGTAAGCAGAGTTGAGACCTTGCCCTTCCTCAGGTAGTGATTTTGGAGTATGAAACTGTTTGGTTTTACAATCCCCAGCAGTCTTCAACAAGATTAAAAATATGGATTCTTGTTTGGAAATTGATTAATTTATGAAATATGTTGAGGTTTTTCCTATGGAATGGGAATCAAATTTTCCTCAAATAAATTTCAGTTTTCTTTATATGTTTTAAAACTTAATGAAAAACAGAATTCTAACTCTCCCATTCTTAGAATGATTTTTTTTTCTCTGTTGCACTGATTGTGGTAGAATTTGAAGCTTAGTTGAGGGGAGGAGTGAAAAGATTTCTATCTATAGGTGAGTAGCAATAAACATACTGATCAGAACACTCTAATCAGTTTTTTGTGTCATTTTTGGTTGCTTGCGCCTGATCTTAATTTTGCCAGACTAAAGCATCCACCACACAACTACTACATATACACTATATATACAAGTTTTAGGGAGGATCTCCTTTCAATTACTTCCTTCCCATCAGCAACTCAAGGCTAGCCAGCCTTTTTACTTCTTCCCCTCAAGAAAACTCCAGATTCCATCACAGATTTGGATTTCTGATTTTTTTTCTTACTTGTATTTATCCTTCCAAATATTATGTCTGTTTTGAAGAACTAATCACTGTCGTGAATTATTCAGTTATCTGTAGCTTCATTTTCTGTATTATTAAAAAAAAACAAACACTGTTGCTTAGATATATAATTCAATTCGAAATGAAGAAATTCTGTGGCAGGAAAAAGACAGTTCTGTTTTGTTTATCCTGTTTAAATACAAATACTGTACAAAAATAATAAACTAGAATATAGACTTGGTAATAAGTAACATAATATATTTTGCTGATAAAATCTAATATTTATGCATGACTCTATAATGCAGAATTTTGTTTTTTGATTTAAAAATATATGTTATAGCAAGTTTTTAGCATTTTAAGAAGGCATTAGAATTTGCATCTTTCATGAGCATATGCAGCTGCATACTTGTCTCATTATTATTATTATTATTATTATTATTATTATTATTATTATTATTATTATTTATTCAATTTATATACCACCCTTCTCCTATTGGACTCAGGGCGGTGCACAGCCAAGCATAAAAAACATACCAATACAAAATTTAAAATCAATTAAAAGAATTATACAGCTTTGGCCCACAATTTAAAACAATCCAATTTAATTTAATTTAATTTAATTTAATAAATTTAATTTATTCAATTTATATCCTGCCCTTCTCCAAGTGGACTCAGGGCAGTGCACAGCCAGAACTAAAACACATATCAATACAAAATTTAAAATTATTAAAAGAATTAAATAACTGTGGCCCAAAAATTTAAAACATTGAAAACTAAAACCCCTTTGACAATTTAAAAAGCTAAAAACTAAAAAAAAAAAAAAAAAAAAAAAGGGGGGGGGAGTTCATGCCAGCCCTGCTTGATGAAAAAGAAAAGTTTTTAGGGCACGGCGAAAAACCCAGAGATCTAATATCCTTCGTATCTCCGGGGGCAAATCGTTCCAGAGAGCAGGAGCTGCCACAGAGAAGGCCCTCCCCCTGGGGGTCGCCAGCCGACATTGCCTGGCTGACGGCACCCTGAGGAGTCCCTCTCTGTGGGAGCGTACTGGTCGGTGGGAGGCTATCGGCGGCAGAAGGCGGTCCCGCAAATACCCAGGTCCCATGCCATGAAACTCTTTAAAGGTGGTAACCAACACCTTGAAGTGCACCCGGAAGACCACTGGAAGCCAATGCAGCTCACGCAGGAGAGGTGTCACATGGGAGCGGCCCCTCGCTCCCATAATCCCCTGCGCGGCCGCATTCTGCACAAGTTGGAGCCTCCGGATGCTCCTCAAGGGAGCCCCATGTAGAGAGCATTACAGTAGTCCAGTAGTCCAGGCGGGAAGTGACGAGCGTCTGAGTGACTGTGCGTAAGGAGTCCCGATCCTGAAAGGGCCGCAACTGGCGAATCAGGCGGACCTGATGAAAAGCCCCCCTGGCCACGGCCGTCATATGCTCTTCCAAAGACAGCCATGTATCCAGGAGGACGCCCAAGTTGCGAGCCCTGCATATAATGTGTGGTTTGCAGATTCAGAGGGTTAACTTTCATCTTCAGTATAATTTAGCATTAGAGCATTATCATCATTAGCCATTGTATTATACAAATAGTCCTTGACTTAAAACTACAACTGGGACTGTAAGTTGTTGTAATTGTAAATCAAGGCACCATGGGACCAGACTCAATTTTTTTACTGTTTTTAATGTCAATTATTAAGTGAATCACATGGATGTAAGTCTGAATTCACTCTCCCAAATGGCCAATTTTTGCCAGAAACCAGCAAAAAACGTCACAAATTGCGGTTGTAAGATGCTGTAACTGGTCATAAATGTGAGCTGGTTGCAAAGTAACTGAGGGGGTTGTCATGACATTCTATGATTGGCAGAAGTGCTTTACAGGCCATAAAGCATTTGAGGCTGTCATAGGTTTGAATGGTTGTTAAATAACTAGTTGTAATTCAAGGACTACCTGTGATGCATGTAGTTTGAATTAATTTTCAGTTAGCCGGTCTCTCTTGATTTTATGATTTTATGGTTGGTTTTAAATTTTGATATGGATTTTAAATTGATAAACTTTAAACTATGGGCCAAATTTAATTATTTTAAATCTATTTTTAATCGTACTTATGTATAAATGTTTTTTATTCTGGCTGTTCACCGCCCTGAGTCCGAAAGGAGAATAATAAATAAAATAAATAAATAAATAATTTTGCCCTGTACCAGTGCATTAATACATAGGCATTATATATAGAAAAATCAGTGAATTATAGTACAGACTTTAATCTTATGAAAAACTCACAACGGTATTGTCATTTCTCCCTTAATCCACATTTCTAATTTCTTTGGAGACTAGAGACAAAGTCGTGGATCCTGTAATAAATTAATTTAACAAATCTCATGGAAGGAAAATTTCTCATACTGTCTCTCTCACCCCTATAATCAACAATATTGTCTCAGAATGTATCCTTGGAGGTTGAAAAATCCTTCTGAATACTAAACAGTATGGGAATCATGTACAGGCAAATATGAAATATCTTTGTTTTGGAGGGATTATTTTTCCTCAGCAGCCTGTTTTATATTGCTCATGGATGCGTCTCAGTATATTTCAAGGCGTGCCATAGTGCCTTGAGGTAGCAGGTGGGAAAATTTCTACAAATTTCCATAAGTTACATTGAGATTCAAGGCAAAGAGTGTTTTGTATTGACTTCCAGGACAGGTGCAATGATTCAACTATTAATTATTCCTAAACTTGGTTGTTAGAATGTTATCTTAATTACTGTTTAGAGGCTCTTACAATCTTATTTAAATAACAAATTATAGCAATGTGTACAGAACTATAGGAACTCCAACTACTGGAACAAAAGAATTTCAAAAATACATACATACATACATACATACATACATACATACATACATACATACATGAAACTATTTTGTTTTAAGGAAATTATTTAAATTGTAGTCCAAACTTTCAGTGAAGCACCTTCATCTAGCAGTGGATTGATTTTTCATGGACTAATTAGGATTGATAAAGTTAGCATTTTAAAATTATGTTATGGGTGGTGATTTCAGTTTTATTTGGCATTTATAGAGTTAAGATTTGTTACTATGGTAGTTTTTATAAGAGGATTTGTCACAGCATGTTACAGTTCTGAGTGCAAATGTCAGTCATTAGGAAGAGAATTATTCTGAAAGTAGAATGCTCCAACTGAGGGGTTTTCCATTCAGTATTAGTGTTCAGCCATTTCCTTACTGAATTTATTCAAAAAGATGAGTTATTTCTTTCTGCCCTCTCTCCTCCTAGTAAGGGGTGGGTTGACTTACAAGATGACTTACAAGATGAAAAAGAGAGAGAGAGAGACTCCATTGCATCCTGCTGGATGTGGATGCCAAGGGAAAAGTAATGATACCAGTAGTAAACTGACTGAATAAAGCAACGATCTTGAACATAATTTATCTGGAACTAAGAGCTCTGTGGAACATGATATGGAATAAACTGCATCATTTTCCTTGTGCATGCAGCTCAGCTGAAAGCCATTTACCAACATATACCCTTTTTGGAATCAGAAGGGAAAAGTACCCCAAGGATTTCACACACACCCCACGCCCGACCCTAGTTTCTATCCCATCTTACAATAAATATGCTGAGGTAAATAGACATGGCAAGAGCCTATACACACTTAGCTGGTAGTAAGAGTCATTGAGCATAGTGGGACTTTCTGCACATTTTTGTATCTTGCCCCCTCCCCCCCTTTGATCATATATGTATGTTTAAGAGATTAGTCTGCGAGTAAGCAAAGTCTGTGTGTGAGTCTGAAGCTGGAAGAATCAAGTAATTGTACACATTGAGTGCCTTATTTTTACAGTGATTTAATTAATTAGGTAAAAATTGTGTGTGTGTATGTACTGCATATTCACACATTGAGCAAATCTCCAGGACTGGTTTCAGTGGGCACTGGCAGTAATAATTGAGAAAGTAGAGAAGTAAGATTTATAAGTCTTTAAAAAGATAAAGGTAAAGGTTTCCCTCGCACATATGTGCTAGTCGTTCCCGACTCTAGGGGGTGATGCTCATCTCCATTTCAAAGCTGAAGAGCCAGCGCTGTCCGAAGACGTCTCTGTGGTTATGTGGGCCAGCATGACTAAATCCCAAAGGCGCACGGAACGCTGTTATCTTCCCACCAAAGGTGGTCCCTATTTTTCTACTTGCATTTTTTTACATGCTTTCGAACTGCTAGGTTGGCAGAATTATAACCCTTTACTGATGTCTAAATATACTTCTTTTGGAGAAAGGTTAATTAACTTAAATTCAGCATGTTTTTGATAAATGTAATGTTTGTGTGTTTAATCATTGCCCAAAAGTTTTAGTTGCAATGAATAAAATATTAATATATAAGAAAAATTATTCTGATTTTTAATATTCTTTAGGGTTTTTTAGACCCAGCAACTTTGCGAGAAGCTGACCAGATCAATATCATTTGGGATTATATTAATGTTTAAATTAATATAGTAAAATGTATTTATATTACATTTTTTTGTTCTCTGCAGATTAATGTAAGGGTTACCACCATGGATGCAGAGCTAGAGTTTGCCATTCAGCCGAACACAACAGGGAAACAGCTTTTTGATCAGGTATAAATGTTGAGTTTATGTATGTCTTCATCTTTTATTAACATTTTACATTTTGTATAAATGATAACATAGTATGTTTTTTGCAAAATATAATCTGTTAACACATCTAGGACTGTATAGAATATGGTTTTTACATTTTAAAAAAATAAAGTAAAAAAATAAATTCTAAAAAAATCTGTACAACTATTATGAGATACAAGAAATATTTTTAAGTTCCTCCTTTCTTCTCATAGGTAAAAAAGATAGCATCGGTGCAAAGTTAAGTTGTTTAGGTAGTCCTATTTAGCATTGGCATTCTATTGCAAAACATGATAACAAAGATAGAAAGATTTGATCTGTAGTTTTTCTTGTATTCATTCCAAAAAAGGCTATAATTGTGTAAAGTTCCCCATAAAAAAGGAACCTGTTCAAAGAATAACTTTATTCTGATTCATATTGTGGGAAGTTTATCAGAATACCTAGTTATGCCAGAAAGAGAAGCAACATGCCTAGAATGCCAAAGGCTCAGAAATAATAGTAAGAGGAAGCTTCTATTTTTGTCTTATTTGTGGGTTTCTTATAAATGTATGATTTGTCACTTTGGGAAGCATGAACTGATTTTTTATTTGTTCCATAGAAGTGTGCTGGGGATGGGGGTGGGGGGAGATTAGCATCTCTCTCAATTAAATCAGCTTACCAGTGACCACATGCACAAAATTAGTCTGCAGCACATTATATACTTAACCTCTGTTTTAGCTGCTAGCAGGACACACTTAGATTCTAATAACTCAATAAAATAGTTGTCATTTCATAAAATTATCCCATATGAGAAGATTTTCTATAGTAAATCTGGTGTGTATTTAAACAAAGTCACGGCTGATGTTATTTAAAGGAAAATGGCTTGGCATTTTTTTCAATGACAACTGCATTGCTCTGTAACTACCTGGCCATCTTTATTTCAGTAGTCTCTTCTTTTTAATTGTAGTTTATAATGTTTCAACGTTCTCTCTCTTTTTTTTTTAATTTGATTTATATGCCGCCCTTCTCCAGAGACTCAGGGCGGCTTACAATGCGTTAAGCAATAGCCTTCATACTTTTGTATATTTATACAAAGTCATCTTATTGCCCCCACAAACTGGGTCCTCAATTTACCTACCTTAGAAAGGATGGAAGGCTGAGTTAACCTTGAGCCTGGTGAGATTCGAATTTACAGGAATTGCAGACAGCTGGTGTTAATCACAATGCTATCAGTCTGCTGAGCCACCAAGCTGATACAGATTTCTGTTTTTCTTGAGGAAGTACATATTTATTTATTGTATTTGTATATCACTAAATCAAGGAAGGACTTCTAACAGTTAATGGCAACAGCAAAATATCCATGGCAAGCTCATTCTTTGATATTGACATGGTTTTCTTTTTTAGGTAGTAAAAACAGTTGGCTTACGAGAAGTCTGGTTTTTTGGATTGCAGTATGTGGACAGCAAAGGGTACTCAACTTGGTTGAAATTAAACAAAAAGGTAATTTTTTACTTTAAACATTTAAAATAACTTATATGTTTGGTGTAGCAAAAGTATCAAAGGTAGTATAGATACATTATGAAGATTGTGTTGAAAGTCAAGCCAGTGCTTATACTAGATGGGTGACTAATGAATGAAAAAAGAGTAAACTGTAAAATATATTTCTATAATATGTGTGAATCCATTTCTAAATTTCTTTTTTTCTATTTCATGTCAGTCTAGTTTTATAGAAAATAAAATTGATTCCTATCTAAATATGTTTCTCAAAGGCTGTGGCATATTCAGTTCTCTGATAGCACATAATATGGAATGTCACTGAAAGCAGATCATAAAATTGATATGTATATTCCTCCTGTTACATTTTAAAAAATTCTTTCCCCCACTCCCAACTAATCATGGGAGGATTGGAATGCTTTTGGTTAATATATACCTGATAAATATCCAGCATCTAAGGAGAGCTAAAGTTTCAATAAGTAGGGTAAGTAGAATTGTTGGGCTCATCTGTGTGTTAGAACATAGAGATAATTCTTTTTATTTTCAAATACTGTAAGGCAAGTATTCCAGCTGACTAAACTTACTAGCTTTCATATTTCTTTGTGGGATGAGGCACTGAGAGACAGGCAAGAGAAGATTATTATACTTGCATCCCATGAATCATAAATCATTCCTCCTAGTAGTAAAGGAAGCTGGTAAGTGCTGATCAGATTGTGGCACAATGAGGCTACTGAGAAACAAGAGGATTGTACTGGTATGCTTCAGGAAACTCTTAAGAATAACAGAATTATAAAAAGTATGTAAGGGAAAAAAAGTAAGGACGTACTATTCCTAACTTGAGATCATGATTGTCTGGATTAGAAAAACTAAAACATAATTAAATCAGGGATGGGATATTTTCTAGAACATTGAACAAGAGAATAATATGCCGTAACATTTTTCTGCCAGCATTACTTACTCTCCCTAAGATACCTTTCCTCGCGTTTCTTTTCGGAATATTGCAAACAAGGATAAGCCTCGATTCATCTCCTCTAAACCAGGGTAATTAGTCCCAGAGCCAAACATGGGATTAATAAATGCCCTGACAAGTCTTAATTGGGCAATATTAACTACAGTTAGTCCTCAATTTATGACCATAATTTAGTCCAAAATTACTGTTGCCAAGGAAGACAGTTGTGAGTTTTGCCCCATTTTTTAGCTTTCTTGCCACAGTTAAGTGAATCATTGCAGTTATTAAGTTGGTAACATGGTTGTTAAGTGAATCTGGCTTTCCCATTGACTTTGTTTGTCAGAAGGTCACAAAAAGTGTCCACATGACCCTGGGATACTGCAACTGTCATAAATATAAACCAGTTGCCAAGCATCCAAATTTTGATAATGGGATGCTGCAAAAGTCGTAAGTGTGAAAAATAGTCATGTCACTTTTTTCAGTGCTGTCACTAAACAAATGATTGTAAATCGAGAGCGGCCTGTATAAATAGGGGCGTGCATAAGTGCACTAACGTGCCTATCATCCCTGTCACAGTATTTTTTCTTTTATTGTTCTCGTTTTTATTCTTGTAATATGTTTTTGAAATACACAGAGAAAGTTCTCATGCTTCCCTAATTATTTAAGTCTCTGTAAATCACACGTCCTTCAATGCTGTACTTTTTAGATTAAATTGAAAAACATGACAAGTGGTGATAGATTACTTTTCCCAATATTTTAATGTTCTCTTCATCCTTTGAAATTTTATATTATAATACATATTTATGTTTTATAATTTATATATTTCATTATAGGTAACACAGCAAGATGTAAGGAAAGAAAATCCATTTCAGTTCAAATTTAGGGCAAAGTTTTTTCCTGAGGATGTTTCCGAAGAATTGATTCAAGAAATAACTCAGAGACTCTTTTTTCTGCAAATCAAAGAAGCCATCTTGAATGATGAAATCTATTGTCCACCTGAAACTGCAGTTCTTCTGGCTTCTTATGCTGTTCAAGCAAAATATGCTGATTACAACAAGGAAATACATAAACTAGGATATTTGGCCAACGACAGACTTCTTCCCCAGCGGTAAGAAATTTCTGGCTATATCAAAATTTAATTGGATCTAGAATATCTGTTTAATAATATGGCTTAAGTAATGTACACTATGAACAATGTAGTACATAATTTATTCAGAATTTGTGATTAAGCCAGTGTTATTAAATATGTATCTTCTCAGTGTTAAAGTAAAATGGCTGCACATATATTAAATTGCTTGGAGATAATTAGAAGCTGAATATGGAAAAGCAAGGATACCTGGCAACAAAATGTAGGTTAGACTGGTCATGATCAGCCAGTAACCAAATGTAGGTTAGACCGGTCTATTGGGTTCCCCATAGCTACCTATGGTTGAGAAAGTTCGAACTTAAAAAACAAATCAGGAGGAAAATTGTCTCGTTTGAGTTGTGCTGATGGAGAAAGCTGCTGAGTATTCCTTGGACAGCAAAGATGACCAGTAAGCAAGTACCAGAGCGTATAACACTAGATATGACACTAGAAGGCAAAATTGCGAAACTGTGTCTCACTTATTTTGACCATGTCATGCGGGGGAGTTCACTGAAGAAAGCAATTATGTTAGGAGGAGTTGGCAATAAAAAGAAACCAGGCTGTTAAAAAACATGGTGCCTGGACACCATCAAAGCTGGCATCATCCAGAGCATAGTACTCAAAGAATTAGTATAAGATTAGAAGATGTGGAGAGACCTGGTCCATAGAACCACCAAGAGTTAGACATGATTGAATGGATAACATGATCATCAGATAATTGTTAAATGTGCATTCATCTCTTTATGTTTGTGTGAATATACAATATTCAACAGTATAAAAGATAAGTAAAATGTATGATTTTACTTAATATTTCATTTATAGAAGAGTTTAAATGCTGTAGTACAAATAATATCAAGCCAAAATGAGCTAGGACCAAATATCTGTTTCCACAGCTAAATATTATTTGGGGTTTTTTTGGGGGGGGGGGTGTTAAAATGATGCATTACATAGGATAAAACATAATAAATTTCATTGGTGTTGGGTGCTTCTGAAATCTCTTTACTAAAGCTGCCATTAAATTGCATTTCTAAAGTTGAATAAGATACCACTGATGATCAGTTTTTGGATAATTGTGCTGTTGTCTCTCCTCATCCAAAGAATTGCTTGATTCTGCTATTTGTTTAAAGAAAATAATTTTCATTTGGATTGTCTTTAACCCATCCTGATTGCTGTGAAGTTAGTGGAAAGTATAGGGCTTTCTAATATAGGAGGTTGGGATTTCTGGAAGTTTAACAAGATGCTTGATATTCTTTTGGTATATGTGACTGTATCTTCTACATCTTTTGCTACGGGATATAGCGGAGAAGTCCAACTAGAATGATAGGGAGATTGTCTTTGCTGTCTTTCCGATCCTTTTGCAAACAGGCAAGTTTCTTTGTGAGAGGGGCAGCCTTACAGATACTTGAAATAAAAATTAATGCATTTTATTTTGATAGTGTTTTGGAGCAACATAAACTGACAAAAGAGCAGTGGGAAGAAAGAATACAAAATTGGCATGAAGAACACAGAGGGATGTTAAGGTAATTTCCATATTATCTTTGTATATCTTTTGAAAATTAATTTCCTTTGGTTTAATAGTAATTTTTCCTCCTACAAAATCTCTGTTACTTTTGAGTGTGTACATGAAATAGGTTATTCAGAGAGCTATTTTAATTTACTCCAGTACAAAATATTTAATTTTTAATAAGTGTTCCTGTTTATATTAAGTCAGCATATTCTTATGTTTTCAATCTGGCAATAATTAATGTTCACATCTTTGGGAATGATCCATACTGAAATAATTAGAATTTATTTCCTACTGAATTTGATAAATACAATATTTAAGTATTTTTCATCTATTGAGAATAAAGGAGCATAGTAGAAACTAATATTTGCTGGCCTATGATTATTATGAATTTTATATGGCTTTAAATTATGTTATTTTTATTGTTAGGGAAGATTCTATGATGGAATACCTCAAAATTGCACAAGATTTGGAAATGTATGGAGTCAACTATTTTGAAATTAAAAACAAAAAAGGAACTGAGTTATGGCTTGGTGTTGACGCTTTGGGTTTGAATATTTATGAACATGATGACAAGTAAGTAGCATAATACTATTCTGTTGATCTTGTAGTACAGCTTCAAGTATTCTATTTTCAATAACTTTCTAATATATATTTAAAATATGCCCCTTGAGAATACTGTAGTAGACAATATTTCTGACAGAAGTAGACTTCTGTCTATTACAGAAGCAAGATGGAGCAGAGAAATCTAATAAGGAAAAATCCTTTTGTTTTAAACAGATGCAGATGGGTTTTGTGTCTATCTTTTGAAGCCTAGACCTATGTCTGTTTCTGTGTTTCCTCCCCATAACTAAGATTCTTTCCTTCTTTTCTAAAGGTTGACTCCGAAGATAGGTTTTCCTTGGAGTGAGATAAGAAATATATCATTTAATGACAAAAAGTTTGTGATAAAGCCCATTGACAAAAAGGCCCCTGTAAGTAAATATGCTTGAGGTATAATCAGCACATCTGTTGTTCTTTTCCTTCTGTTTCTTAGATCTCCAAATGATGTCTTTTGTGACTTACAAAATTTATTTTGCTGTATTCATGATTTGTTTTTCAATTACTGTTTGGCTTATTTACAGTGCCAATGCCATTCTTTTTTTGTTATGTTGGAATTAATTCTATGTTGTTACCCTTTATTTCCTTCTGAATTAGAGTTTGTATTCACAAACTAATGCGTTAGAATGGTAAATACTCAAAAGTTATTGTGGGCTAGTAGAATAATGATAAGAATTGATAAGAAAGACAAAAGAAACCTGGATAGTGGACATTTAAATATTTGGAGGCAGCATAATAGAAGAAAAAGAACTCAAAGAAAAATCACAAAATATAAAAGACCTGCAAACAGAAGTAGAACAACAACAAAGGAAGCAAAGATAGTACCAATATTAACAGGTCTCTTGGGTGCAATTCCAAAATATCTGGAGCACCCTTGAAACCCCATCAGCATTGACAGAATCATCATCAGTTAATTGTAAAGGGCAATGCTTGGAAGAGTTTACATCCTGCAATGATACCTTTAATATTATTAAACAAAAACATCTGCCTAAACAGCAACATTGCCTAAATAACAACATCTGACTTAGGTTGTTCTACACCAACAACAGATGCAAAATCAGAGCTTTTCCATTATGGCCCATATTTTGTGAAATAGTCTTCCCACATAGTGATTTAGCAACTCTTGGCAAGTTTCAGGAAGGTCTTGAAGACAAGACTCTTGCGTAAGTACTCAAAGCCTTTTTTAAAGGAATGTTTGGCTGGCATTGGAACTTTTTTCCATTCTTTGTTTGTTTGTTTGTTTGTTTGTTTGTTTATTTATTTATTTATTTATTTATTTATTTATTTATTTATTTATTTATTTATTTATTTATTTATTTATTTATTTATTTGATTTATATGCCACCCTTCTCCGGAGATTCAGGGCGGCTTACAATGCATTTAGCAATAGCCTTCATACTTTTGTATATACCTGCTTAGTAGGGCTTTCGGTCCCCCCCAAGCGGTGTTCTTTTCCCAAGTCTTGGGAAGCTTTTCTAATCTGATAGCCTCCAAATGTGATTGACATCAACTCTAATAATGACTAGTTAAGATATTTCTATTACCGTATTTTTCGGAGTATAAGACCTTAGTTTTTGGGGAGGAAAATAAGAAAAAAGCTGATTGGCGGGTGGATCAGCCTCCTGGAATACCCCCAATCAGCTGTTCCCAGAAGTGAATTTTATCAACAGGTTCGTTGGTTGTGAGCTCTGTGCCTTGCTTTTTTTCCAACCTCTAAAACTTCTGAAACTCTGTTTCAGAAAAAACTTTTTTTTCTGCCTCTGAAAACCTCTGAAACAGCTTCAGAGCTTTTTTTTCCTTTCAGAGGCTTTTTTTTTTATGAAGGTCTGGAGGCTTTTTTTCTGAAGCCTTTTCACATGCTTTTTTCAGCCTCTGAAACCTCCATTTGAAAGGCTGGGCGGGGCTACATTTGGAGTATAAGACGCACCCAGATTTTCACCCTCTTTTTTGGGGGAAAAAGGTGCATCTTAAACTCCGAAAAATACGGTATTTGCATGTGTGTAATCAAAATTATGGCATACTCTGGTTTTAATTTGGTTTTCTGCCTAAAAAGAGCAGGAAATAACATACTTGTATATCAGCAGCTTGCTGTTGATTTGTGGAAATCAGTTGTGGAAAAAGTTCTGGGTGTCTGATGATAGTCAAGCACTCAGTTGTGTATGGGTGTGTGGGTGCATGGAATTTGTGGTTTTCTTGCCTTTCTTAAGTAAAAGCCCCAACTACCTTATTTTTACCATAATTTTTCTGTTGTGACCTTTTGTAACATTTTTTTCTAAAATGCAATTAACTAGACCACCAATTAATGATTTAAAATTTAACTACAGTATAGATAACTTCATATTTTATTCTCAATAATAAACTTTTTCATTGCTGTAGCTTATTGTCTAAATGTTTTAACTGATGATCAATATCTATGTATGTTATTATATTTTCCTTTTCTTTGTTCATAATTTTTTAAGTGCAAGTTGAATTTTATCCACCATTTTGTTACATAATGATTCCAGTTCTTTTTGAAACACTTTTCACTCATAATTTACTATGTTGCTGTAAATGTGTTTGTGTTTCTGAGTAATAACATGCTAATTCTAGATCACTGATATGTTCTAGAACAGCTTTAACTAGTCCTGTTAGAGAGTAATTAGTGAAAGACTGGTGCTGAAATCTGATTTAAGCGAAAACTATTTTTATTATGTGACCATTTTGGTAACTTAAATATTTTTCATTAGGATTTTGTTTTTTATGCACCCCGTCTGAGAATTAATAAGCGGATATTGGCACTATGCATGGGAAACCATGAGCTATACATGAGAAGGAGAAAACCAGATACAATCGAAGTGCAACAAATGAAGGCCCAAGCTAGAGAAGAAAAACACCAAAAACAATTGGAGAGGTAGGATATTTGCAATTAATCTTGGAGATTAAGATTCTGGTAGCAAATTAGTTTGAAAATTAATTTCATGTCCTATTTTAGGGGACTGAAGGCTAAAACATATGAAGAACGGTTGCAGGAACTGGGTATGTCTAATTTAATGAAAAGAAGGACTAGGGGAGACATGATAGCAATGTTCCAATATCTTAAGGGTTGCCACAAAAAAGAGGGAGTCAAACTATTCTCCAAAGCACCTGAGGGTAGGACAAGAAGCAATGGGTGGAAACTAATCAAGAAGAGAAGCAACTGAGAACTAAGGAGAAATTTCCTGACAGTTAGAACAATTAATTAATGGAACAACTTGCCTGCAGAAGTTGTGAACGCTCCAACATTGGAAATTTTTAAGATGTTGGATAACCATTTGTCTGAAGTGGTGTGGGGTTTCCTGCCTAAGCAGGGGGTTGGACTAGAACAGTGATGGCTAACCTTTTTGCCATCGCGTGCCAGGAGGGGGGGCGGGGGAGGGTTGCGCGCGTGCGTGCCCACACCCATAATTCTATGCGCTCTGCCCTGCGCATGCGCGCACAACCCCCCCGGCTCCTGCACGTGATGGCCTGGTAGGCCCATTTTTCTTCCTTACCTGGCTCTTGATCCACTCTATTTATCTGGGAAGGGCGAAAACAGCCTTTCCCACTCCCTTGGAGGCTCTCCAAAGGCCTGAAACGGCCCATTTCCCAACTCCCGGTGGGACAGGAAGTGACGTTTTTTGCTGTCCCCAGCCTCCAGAGCCTCTCTAGGAGTCTCTAGGAGCCCCTCTAGGAGTCTCTAGGAGCCTCTCTGGGAGTCTCTGGAGGCTGGGGATAGCAAAAAAGTCACTTCCTGTCCCACTGGGAGTTGGGAAATGGGCTGTTTCAGGCCTTTGGAAAGCCTCCGAGGGAGTGGGAAAGGCTATTTTCGCCCTTCCCAGATAAATAGAGAGAATCAGGAGCCAGGTAAAGAAGAAAAACAGGCCTTCCTCCCCCGCCCCCCCCCCAGGCCCTCCAGAGGCAGGAAACAGCCTGTTTCCCTACTTCTGGTGGGCCCAGAAGGCCTGAAAATCAGCTGGCCGGCAGGCGCAGGCGCCCCAGAGCTGAACTGGCGTGCCCACTGATATGGCTACGCGTGCCACCTGTGGCATGTGTGCCATAGGTTCGCCATCCCGAGACTAGAAGGTCCCTTCCAACTCTGCTATTCTATTCTATTCTATTCTATTCTTCTTCAGAAGAATTCCTTTTAAGAAAAGTATGACCACATGGGGAGACAGAATTATCTGAAAACAATGGTGAACAATACTTATTAAACAGAGCTTATTAATATAGTGTCTTAGATCTCTTATGCATTGTTTGTACCATTTTAAGCAATGTTATCAGATTGGGTACAATGCTGAGTGATTCTTGGTCCTCGAGGCAGCAGTGTTTATAGTGCTAGAGTTTACATTGTGTTAATGGCTCTAAAAATATGGTTCTCCAGCATTGTGGCCCAATTCCAAGAAAGTACAGTGAGAACAGTTTGCTTATTTTAATTAGACTTTATTGGAAGCCTGATACTTTTGGGAAAAACAAAGTGCTTGTACTGACCTGTTTACCATATGTTCTCTTAGGTAACATCAGATTGTTATGTACTAGGTAGGCTGAATCTTAATATATATTGATCTGATATTAAGGGGAGTTACAGTAAGTATCACTTTCATATTAGCCTTAGCTACTACCATAAATTGCCAGATTGAGCAATTACAATGAAAAATTTTTGTTTTCCCGTGGGAGATCAGTGATTGTTATATTACACAAGCAACAGTACTATACAGTACAGTAATATTCTAGTCCATGTTCAAAATTTGAAGTTTCTTGTGCAGCACGGTAGAATCATGTGTTAATTGCATAGTAAACTCTTATTCAGTAAAACGTCTACTCACTGTATTATCGTGATTGTCAGCTAAATGTTTTGTTGCATTTGGTAGCTGGCTGAAATGTTTTGGACTTGGATCTTATTTTTTAAAAAACATCATAGGCCTGCCTGGTGTCATCCAGGCATTATGAGACCACAGGTCTGTAAATTCCTAGCCAGTATGGTTGAAGGTTATGGTTACCCACTATTGTGAGATATATCAGCCAAATATTATACATTTTAAATGCAACAATATGAGCGTTGTAAAACCTGTTTTTTTCTGCAAGTAGGATTTTATCAGTAGATCACTTAGCATATGTTAGAATAAATTTTGTGTGTTTGAGTAAATGGATTTATTTGGGGGGGTGGGATGAATACTGTTTATTCACATGCTTTATTTTTATCTCATTTTCTTTAGAGCCCAACTAGAGAATGAAAAAAAAGAAAAGGGAAATAGCCGAAAAAGAAAAGGAAAGAATAGAGCGTGAAAAAGAAGAATTGATAGAACGACTAAGACAGATCGAAGAACAGACAATGAAGGCCCAAAAAGGTGAAGACCTTTTATGTATTAATGACAAGACATTATGTTATGATTTGAAAAGCTGTTACATGTCTTCTAAAAACATTTATTATTCAAGTGAAGAAAATATTAGCCAATTTTATAAAATATTTCTTCTCCTTTCTTACAATTTTTACCTGTTTTAATGGCTTGCCTTAAGACATTAGAAAGCAACAATCAATATCTGACAAACTAATAGTGTGCTGTGAGAAATAAACAGCATAATTAGTGGTGCTTGGCAACTTAGAGTACCCACCCACAGAAGACAAACCATACTTTGTAACTTATTGGCAAATTCTGGGTTTGTTCCAACCAGTTGAGGAATCAGTCTAAAGTACATATTTTGCATAAATCACACTGGAATGCTTGGAATAATCATTAAGAGCTAAATATCTAATATAGATGGGGAAAATTCCCCGTTCTTAAAATCTTGCCAAGGAATTTTGAATTTTTTTTTTTCATTTGCAAGTATGACCTGAGGACTTTAAAGTTAGATGAAGTATTTAAAATACCTTTGCAATTCATTGAAGCATATCAAATCAGATATCTTGTCCATTTAGGCCAGGATTGTCCACTTTTGCTTGGCATTCCAGGATTTGGGCAAATGAGTTTTTCATTACTTAATACAGTTTATATTGTTGTTAACTGAAGGTGCAGGATGATGTGCCTGAATTCTGTCTGTGTGCACAGCATAAACATTACAATAGAACAGTGGTTCTCAATCTGTGCTCCGCGAACCCCTGGGGGATTGTGACATCAGGGGGTCCAAAAGGCTTGAAGAAACATTATTTAAATCGAGTTAAGTCTTGGTGGTCCGTGGCCATAGTCCCTGGCCACAAAAGGTATTTAAAGGGGGTCCGTGGTGAAGAAAAGATTGACAAAATGTTTTTCACTTCCTGTAATACTGGGAGTGTTTGCCTTTCCAATGGAATATTCAGATATTTAGTGGACTTGGGTGCAAATGATTTGCAATCTAGGTAGTGAGGTAGACTTTCTTCTTCTAGTTCTGAAATTCTAATTAAAAACATGCCTATTCATTTCAAAAAATGCAAGTTCATTGGGTAAAGTTGAGAAAACATTGGAATTGGTTCTTTAATGTAAAACTGATGGGACTTCTAGTGGAAACAAATTCTCCTGATGACTTCATGCCATCTTAGGCAACTTTATTTTCTTGATTAAAACTCGCAGCAAGGCCAGCAGTAGTTTTTGTAGGCATCATTTAATTCTGTAAATCTGGACTGCTAAAATTTGATTTTTATTTCTTTGACATAATGAATATTTGTACAGAACTGGAAGAGCAAACAAGAAGAGCTCTAGAGCTAGATCAGGAACGAAAAAAAGCAAAAGAGGAAGCAGAGCGCTTGGAAAAAGAACGAAGAGCTGCTGAAGAGGCAAAAGCTGCTCTGGCAAAACAGGCAGCAGATCAAATGAAGAATCAGGAACAACTAGTAAGACTTCTCATACAAAGCTGTGTTAGATTGGGTTAAAATGTGTTGTCATTCTGCCACGTGGCACAGTGGTTAGAATGCAGTATTACAGGCTGACTTTGCCGACTGCCAGGAGTTCGATCCTGACCAGCTCAAGATTGACTCAGCCTTCCATCCTTCCGACGTGGGTAAATTGAGGACCCAAATTGTTGGGGGCAATATGCTGACTCTTTAAACTGCTTAGAGAGGGCTGCAAAGCACTGTGAAGCTGTATATGAGCCTAAGTGCTGTTACTATTGCTATTGTCATAGGAAAGTTAAAATGGGAGAGGGAAGATCACCTTGGGGAATCTTGAGTGGACAATGCATTAAAGTGGTGACAGGCAAGGGGTGCCACAGGAGCCAAAAAGCAGGCTGTTACAGGGAAAGATGCTCCAATGTGCAGCATTGTTATATATTTGCATGGCAAATATTTTGTGAGTCAGTGCAAGGCAAATTCCTTTTTAATTATCTTGGGCCTTTTACTTCACTATTTATGACTATATGCATTTGTGTCTTAGAAAATACAATTATCAGAATTATTTCTTTTTGTTTCTGGTATGTGTTCACATAGTGGCTCTCTGTATTTTAAACTATTTTTAAGGAAGTTGTTACTGGATTTGTGCTGGATTTTATTGTGTTACTTTGAATATAGTTTTGTCATTTACAATAAGTTGAATAAATAAGTTGAAGTTCACAAGTTGAATAAAATTATAATACCAAAATTATGAATGTTTTTGTATTTTAGATGATTTTATGAAATTGTTCAGAAAATAAAAAACTCTTTTTGCTTCATAGGCAGCAGAACTTGCTGAATTTACTGCAAAGATTGCACTTTTGGAGGAAGCCAAGAAAAAGAAGGAAGAAGAAGCTTCAGAATGGCAACATAAAGTAATTCTTTTGTAAACTATTGCTAGGTTTTTTTGGATAGTAAAAGTTTATAAACTCTATGTTGGAGTCTCCAAATTTTTAACACCGTTTATCAAATTTGGTCTGCTGAAAAATGTATTTTTAAGTCTTCTGGAGTCTTATTTTGTATTAATACTATTCCATCCTCATCAGAAGAACAACACCATTGTTGTTGTTATATTTGCCCATTTTCTTTTTCTCAGGTAGAATAAGTATGATTTGATACAGTATGTATGTCTGTCTATCATTTATCCCCAAATAATTTTTAATTAGGCTTCTGTGAAGTGCCACTTTAAATCAGTAACTTGATTTTCAGCTATAGGCCACAAAAGCTATTTAGAATCTTCTAAAAATGTTTTTGCAGTGTTTGTAAATATATACATTGTTTTATATATATAGAAACATCTTAAATTGGCACAATCGAATTCCCTCCAACTTAATTAAAAACTTTTTCTCTGCCTCTGGTTTATGAGTATTAAAGTTATTTTTATTTGCAACTTTTTAGGCTTTTTCAGCTCAAGAAGATCTGGAAAAGACCAAAGAAGAATTGAAAACTGTAATGTCAGCTCCACCCCCACCTCCACCCCCACCAGTAATTCCTCCCACAGATAATGAACATGATGAACAAGATGAGAATAATGCTGAAGCCAGTGCTGAACTGGCTTCTGAAGGTATCATGAATCACAGAAGTGAGGAAGAACGTATTACAGAATCACAGAAGAATGAACGAGTAAAGAAACAACTTCAGGTAAACAAGCCTGATAAAAACCTGTCATATAAGCTGAAAACCAAGGACTTCTTAAGGATTGAGTTTAACCTCCTATCAGGAGCCTTTTCTTTACATTGATGTCCTTCTGGATATCTCCCCCTTAGAATATGATGACCCAATGGGGCATGAGATGTTCTTGGTCAACATGGGACACATAATTGTGTTGATTTCAGTTCTCATACTTAGCAGCCAAGCGGGAACATGTAGAATGGCTCCAGGCTGTTGAAGTCTCCTGATTCTTCTACTCCCACAAACTCTGAAAATTAGATAATAGTTTTATTGATGCTGCTGAAATAGCCTATTGTGCTAAGCTTCCTTTCAATAATAGATGTAATAAGAGATAAAGGAAATGTTTGCTTTTTAAAAACATTAAAACTGGTAAAGTCGGATTCCTGACAATATTGTGCTAGGAATAAGCATTCTGAACTACAAAAATGTACATGATGTGCTCAGAAGTGGATCTTTGAAATGGGCAAATAAATTATTTTAATGTAGTTCAACAGGTAAAGTAAGAACAAATAAAATCCCTCATCTTTCCAGCATGTATGTATTCTAATCGTTTAAACTATAGATTTGGCAAGTTCTTGGCATGTAAATAACTAATCTCATTTATATCCCTCTTTTTAATACGTCATTTCTCCTTCCCCCAACTATATGAAAGAATAATTGTATAAATAAATTTTGGAAAATTATTTGAAAATAGTAACAAATATGGATACTATTAAAGCAAACATTGGAGTATAGTGCCAACTATTTTCAAACAAATACATTAGACCAGGGATGTCAAACGCAAGGCCCAAGGGCCAAATCTGGCCCATGGGGTGCTTAGATCTGGCCTGCAGGGCTGGCCTAGAAACAGCAAAGGACCAGCCTGCGGTGCCTCTGCCAGTGAAAATGGAGCTCCGTTTTCACTGGCAGAGAGCGGCAGGAGGCCATCATGGCTGAAAACGGAGCTCGGGAGCCCTTTTTCGCTGGCAGAGTGCTCAGGCCACCACAGACGCCCCTGACATTTTTTACTTTATTTTATTTTTATTTATATGCCGCCCTTCTCTGGAGACTCAGGGCGGCTTACAATGCGTTAAGCAATAGCCTTCATACTTTTGTATATTTTTTTATACAAAGTCAGCTTATTGGCCCCACAAACCGGGTCCTCATTTTACCTACCTTAGAAAGGATGGAAGGCTGAGTCAACCTTGAGCCATGACATGAGAACCTTGACATGAGTAATGTCAAGCTAGCCATGCTCACCCTAGCTATGCCCACCCCGGCCCCTTAGGTCAGACACAACTCTGATGCAGCCCTCAATGAAATTGAGTTTGACGCCCCTGCATTAGACTAAATGTATAAATGAGACATACTGTATTTTTAAAATACTGGTAATAAAATATGTTGTCATTTGTCTCTAAGACTACATATCTACTTTTAGCTTTCCCTATAATGATACTCCCTTGCTTTTTCTATAAACTTTGTTTAATTAGGAGACTAAAATAAGTTAGTCATGTGTAATAATAGATTGTTGAATTTGATGGGTAGAAATGTTATGGCGATATCTAACCCCTCAATACTTGTATTGAATAGGCTCTCAGTTCTGAATTGGCCCAAGCCAGAGATGAAACTAAGAAAACCCAGAATGATGTACTTCATGCTGAAAATGTTAAAGCAGGCCGTGATAAATACAAGACTCTTCGACAGATACGCCAAGGCAATACAAAACAGCGGATTGATGAGTTTGAAGCAATGTGAGAGCCATTTCTTTGCATGTATGTTCTCCATTACAGTTGAACCACCAGCAGAGAAATACAGGCCTTTCCACAGATGAAAGGATCACACCTCACCTTGCCAAAGCACTTATACCAGTTTGTGGTTAAAACATATTTCAAAAAAAAAAAAAAAAAAAGTTCAACAATAAGGCAGTCTATCAGCTGTGGCTCTCTGGAGGTGATTGAGAAGGTTTCCATGATTTTATATTTTCATGCTTTCTCCTTTGAAGGAACAGCAATCTCATGGTAGCAAAGCTGTTAATTCAAATATTGATAATTTACCTTACAACTGACTTCAGTTTTTGGCATTTGTGCACTTTTGCTTGTTTGTTTTCATTTAGCAAATTGGTGAGGATTTTGATATTGCTAATTTTTAAGGGCTTCCCTTTGTAGGTTAGAATTCTTTGGTGTTTCATATCCTGTCATCATTGATGGTTTTCTTTGCCTGCCTGTTCACAAAGGTCTAGATGGTAGGTGGCTGTTCCAGCACTTTTTTCATTCATATATATGTTACATATGTATATATGAACATTACCTGTAGTCTTTTGCTTGTTAAATCTGTTATACCAAAAGTTTTTAGTTCTTCAAATAAAAGCAGGGAACATTCTTCAGTTTGTCCTCCCCTTGCATTCATTGGATGTTATTACAAATTGTAGTGTGGGAAACCTGGATCTTTCTGATAAGGGAGCATATGGAAACATCAGTCCCAAGAAGGGGACAGAAGCCTACCTCACTGTAATAAACATGATGACTTGTCCTTGAAACACCACATTGAAATGCTAACAGTGTGAAACTATGTCCTGCATAGCTAAACACTACAAGAATCTAGGAGCCTTTATTCTTTAATATTTTGTTATATTACAGGTAGATTTATAGTATTCAAGAAGTGTTCAGCTGCCTTTTTGACAAGTTAAATTTTTAATCATGTATTTTTAATTTTAACCTGTCACTGGTATATTATCCAATAAGAGGTGTGAAATGTTTGGTTATGTTTTCTGAGTACCTTTGTACTAAATTAACATTGTTGCAAAACATTTAATGAAGTCAGTGCATAAAACAATGTTCTCTTCTGCTCAGTTATAGGGCCCATTTGCATATTCTTCCCGTTCCTTCCATGTTAATTCTGAGAATATCTATGCTTTGTGTTTTCAGAGAATGTAGTCACAGGAATTGTGGCAGAATTGTGGCAAAATGAGGTATGAGTAGATCTTTAGGCTGAAGTTCAACATGCACTCAAAGAATATTGAACGTGTGTGTTGGAATCAATATGAATCACTCTTACCTATGAAATGGATAATTAAAATTGGCACCTTGTGTTTGAATACCCTATTTGTGGAAGTGACACTGAAATTATTTACCATGTTTAGTGAACTTTAAGAGTTGGGAGAAAGAAGACCTGCTTTCTCTGAGGATGGTTCAGCTCTGTTATGTTTGGTATTATGCACTCAACTTTATACTTATCTATGAAAATTGCCATTTTATTAATTATTCATGCACAAGTTCCTTAGAACCCCACTGAATGTTAGGGGCTTTCCCCCTGAATCAAAAGGAAGATACTGTGAAAGTTACACACATACCCATTATTTTATGGAAGAATGATAGCTGAGCAATTTTGCATAGACTGGTGTGCAAATATTGTGCATGTGCTCAAACGTCTGGTTGCCCTGGATACTTCTGCTTCCACCTGCAGGATTGGGCAAATGCCTTGCATCTTTTCATGCAGTGAATTCTGAGATATGGATTTCTAAAGTGTTCAATACTTTTGCCATAACGGGTGGAATGTTGTGTGTGGTTCTTCCCTGAAATAGGTACACATGCATTGCCATGTTAATCTATTACTATGGAAGAAGGGGAAAGAGAAGTACCAGTGAAATTTGCTGTTCATAATCTACAGTGTATAGTTTAGTATTTAAATGGATCTAATCCATTTATAAAACTGTGAATATTTTTCTAGGAATTGACATCTGTAATAAGGCTTTTCACCATGTCTAAATTGGTGGTAATGGGTTGTCATCTGCTGTTGGGGGAACACACTAATTCATGTCGAGGCATTCAGGAAATACTTGGTGAAGATATTTTCTTATGCTTCCCCTCCTCCTCTCTTTAGCATCATGTTTTGTGTTGTAAAATTAAGCTATAGTTATTATCATCTATTATTTTGAATAACATTCATTGGCTAACAATAAAGAGAATACAGCTAATTTTTGTGAGGTTCATTGTGGTTATTTAATTTATCATTCCTGACAAAATTGTAATGTTCTTAGGTCTAAGAAAAAATTGCAAGAAAACATGTGATCAATTCACTTTGATAATACAATAAAATATGAGATTAAGGAGGGAGAGGGACATTGCATTGGATTGCAATGAAAAGTAATCATTTTGGAATGGACAAAAGGCTATTATAAATGTTTTAAAATTGTTTTCTTTCTGAGTTTCATGACCTAACCTAAGATGGTGTATGTAGATAAGTTTGAATTTGGGGCATGTTGATATCTGATCCAGATTTGCCATATGGGAATGCATAAATAGGGTAAAATACCAATGTTTGAGCCAATTTAAAAGGAAATTTACTTCAATCTCAGTATTTACACCATAAAAGTAATTTCATTTTTAATTTCAAAGCTTCCTAGTTTTGTGAATCTGGCAATATCATAAAGGTTTTTTTCATGGAAACTGATTTGCTTAGCAGTATAATCTGCTTAAAATAATTTGTATTACAAATTTTCTGCAATAAAAATTTTATAGATATTCCATGCAGATGAATTGACCTTATATTCCAATTTTGTAAATTTGCAGATAGGACAAATCACACTATGAAGATTTTGGATGATCTTAAGCAGGCAGGCTGAAATTTAAGTCAGGATGATTATGAGGCTAAAATAGTTTGTGACATTTTTGTTAAGATTTCACAAAGATAGGTTGTGCCTACATAGTAAACTTATTTTGGGTAGGCAAAGTCATAATATATTTATTGGATTTAAATCTGGTTCCAAAGATTAGCAATTCTTGGCCATTCACAACCATAAAAAAGATGAGCATCATAAAATGTCCATGGTATGATTTAAATCATTAAATTAAATCTACCCATGTCTAATAAAAATTGATGGAATCAGGCAAATTCCAAAATGATGGCCATTATATTTCTCAGTGGTATTGCTACAGATAACACCAGAGCTTCTCAGTGAACAAAGTTGCTTGGGTTCAGGCTCAGCTTGTTTCATTCTAGATCCTGACAGCCACCAAAGCCTGGATCCCGTTACTGCATATCCACAGCTGTGAGTATTAGATTTGGCAGTGGGTGGAGGGACTTGGCTTTGCACATTGTGCAAACCCAGCCTATTTGCTACTGGATACAATTCAAGGTTAATATTGCTTAATATCAGTTGGTCATTGAGAATCAATATGCAATTGTGGGATATAAATGTGATATGAATAAAAAAGATTTGTTTTGTGAACACAGTCATATAGAAGTTATCAAAGCAGTTTCCAGACTGCTCTCCATAATCCTTTAGGATTTGATTTGTTGACTATGCTGTTTAACATATATGTGACACTGTTAGAAGAAGTTGTATGGAGTTCAATGGTACCAGTGTGCTGATGGCGTCAAACCCCAACAAAATCTGAGGAAGCTATTTCAAAGCAATGCCTTATGACAGCAGAAAATTGGATTAAGGTGAAACAGCTTTAGAACTCTTCAACCTGTTGAAAGGCAGATCAGGGAAAAAAAAGGGATTACAATTCCCTTGAAGATTCCTGACTCAAAACTTGATTATGTTCTTGTATTCAATCCAATTCTAGATATAGCCAGGATGTATCAGTACCAGTGAAACTAGTGTCTCTCCCCATCCCCACACCCATACATACTTTAGAGACAGTCCATCTCATTCATAGAGTGACTCTATTCCTGGAATTACCAGACAAGTCAATTACATATTTTGATTTCATTGTGACTTTCAAATGATCCGAATTTAGGAAGAAATTATGTCCATGTCTCCACTCATTGTTATGATAAATTTATAGAAATACCATTTCAAAGGTCTTGTGAAACATCTTTTCTTATTGTCTAACTTACATTTGGGGAGAGGGCCTATAATTTAATAATCTACAAGTATTCCCTAACAATTATTCAAGGCTGATGGGACTTTGAGGCTAACAAATTCTGTCTTTATTCTAAACCATGGAGCATGCAGATCATATGAGCCTTCTAAACCTTTGCTACTGGCCATGTTTGATGGGCCTCTAAAGTATCTGGAGGGTGTAATATGGTGAATCCCCAACTTTAATTGCTCTTGCAAAACTAAATGACCATGCTTGTATGGGTTAGACTCTTTATTAGTTTATTAAATCTGCTTGGTTTCTTCTGTGTCTTTATGCAGGTTACAAAAGTATGATCTCTTGCAGCCCCTTAGGATAGAAACTTATTAAGAAGCAACAGAAGATTCTGAGGTCTGCCTCTGTGCTTCTGTTATTTGGAAGTTTGCTATTTTTAAAACAAAAGTTGATGGGCTTTTTTGCAATTTTATTGATAGGACATTCTTCACTCAGTTCTCCAAATGAATTTTTCCAACAATTTAGAGAGAGCATATTTTAGAAATCATTGGTGTGACATTTCCTCAAAAGAAAGGAAGCTGAAATATTTGTTTTCATTTCACGTATGAGATAATGTAGATAAGTTCTGGAAGAAAATTGGACAGATCTGATACTCTGCATGAAGCTTGGCAAAAGTTGGCAAATAAGAAACAGAAATTTCAAGTATATACCTGTCCATTCTTAATTTTTAAATAATGTATATTAAGTGATGGTACATCAGGATAAGAACAATTGATAATTTTTTTGAGAAAAATTATCTTCACAAATTATTTTAAGTTATAGATCAATATAAATCTGTTTCATCCTTCCCGACACTTACTTATTATTCACTGCATGTTCCTTGCAATCTTTCTCTCAAAATTGGATGCTTTGATGGAAAAGTGAATAGAATGGAACAGATTTATACCAATGTGCAAACTCTTGTTTAAAGAATCAAGAATTTCTGAACAATCTTTTCAATTATGCAGTGAGAAGAAAGGTAAAATACACACAGAGAGAACTACGAATAAATTATCAACTTACCTTGTGGAGTGATATAAACTATGTTACTCCAGCGACCTTATATTTTGAATGACATTGTTGAAAATATTACTGGAATTGGGATGTTTTGTAACTAACCTAGATTTAGAGATAATCAGTGAAGTGACCATGTTTGCTAAGAGTTCAGAATTAACTGAAAAAAATTAGAAACCTTCAAACAGAAATGAGAGCATTGACATGCAGATGTAGTTCAGCATAAGCAAATGTAAAGCACATACTATAAATTGTTTGTGTGGAACTAACCACACTGATAATGATGGAGTTTGTTTATGGTGTGGCAGTGATAGAAAGCCTTCAAAAGTGATTACGTTCATCTATTATATTATATTCTTAAGCATGGCTTACTGAACAGCTACAATTAGCAAGCTGCGTATAATAAGCCATAGTTTATAAATTGCTCATTGGGTCCACTATTTATTAAATGTTTACATTGCTTAACTCCCAACAACCCTGGTCAATTCATAAATTAAAACGAGAATAGAATAATAAAGATAAGTTTAAGTAAAATATGGCTCAGTACTATATGCAAACCTGATCATAGTATTGTTGTGTACAGTGAAAATAGCGAAGTTATACTGGGGGGAATTTAGGAAACGAACTGAAAAAAAAACCCAGGACCAGTTTCAAAGTACTTTTGCAGATATTTGTGATGCAATTAAATGTAGAGTATGATATGCAATTCTTTTATTTTCAGCACTGGAAGCAGTGTGTTACAGTCAACACTAATTGCTGGAGAACAGGAGATGCTATTGTGCTTCTAAAGGCATCTGGTTTCAAATATTAGGAACAATTCTAGAACAGATGTCCTTTGGCTTGATGCAACTCAGCTTCTCTAAGTTCTTACATTAAAGCACAAAAGAATATAAACACGATGATGACCTGGATTGTCAAAGTTCATATTGCAAGTATAAACTTTGTGCCTGTTGTTTCACATTTCTGCAAGGGACAGCAGCTTCTAATGCCAAATTGTCAATATACAGTACATCTTTCAAGTGAAAGATATGTACACCACTTCACAGAGTCACATTACCCCAGGCGTTTCCTCCATTAGAAACAGTAAACCTTAGTTGTTTTAATCAAGGGTCAGAAATCCAAATAAGTTGTAGACTGACAATGGAATAGAGATTTACATCTCATCGTCGTCTCTAAATAAAGTATGAATAGAGGTTTTGTTATTTGAATAAAAGCAAGTCAAAAGTCGTAAGTCAAAGGAAAAAAAAGTCAAACCAGAAACTTTTGTTATATTCTTATTTCTCTTTATTGCACAAGGGTCATATTATTTTTTTCTGTACAAATTAGGAATTTGTGTAACTTCAGTCTTTTAGCTATCCATCTGGCTGAGTATGGATATGCCAAGTTTTCCCTAGAGTTTTATTATTATTATTTTTTGCATTATTTAGGGCAAAATATTGAGCCATTTGTAGCAAATCAGCATCATTTTATGGTCTGCCTGGCATGACTCAACACACTAGAGAAATGGGGGTGAATCCCTGATTAAGAATCCCTGAAACATAGGTGGGTGCAGTGGGTCTTAACCCCAAAGTAAAAAAAAATAAGCCAGGATACAAAGTCCCAGAAGGCTACTGGGAGATCAGGTTTGACACCTTCAGTTTTCCATATGGATACAGCCATTCATCTCAGTTGATTTCAAGCCACAACCAGGTAACAATATACTGTTATATACTCTGCACCTCTATATTGAAAATATTAAAAATAAAACAAACATTTTAAGAAAAATTGTCCAAGAAAACAAGGATTTGACATTCACATATTCAAAAATTCAGCAAGGCAAGGAAGATATGCAGTGGACCACGTCCGTTAAAGAAGCTTGACTGGTGGGGCCCGGGAAGAGAGCCTTCTCTGCCATTTTCCCACCCTTCGGAACATACTCCCCTCAGCGTTGAGACCAAACTCTCCTGGCCTTTCAGGCATGTCTGAAAACCTGGCTCTGCCAACTTGCTTTGGTTAGCACCCTGAAGCTCATCCTCCGCCTTTTAATTATTTTATTCTTGTTTTTAACTGCTTTTTATTGTAATATCTACTGTATATATTGTTTGGTTTTCATGCCTATTTATACTGCCCAGTCACTCTATGAGGTAGATGGGCAGTGTATGAATGTGATGTATAAATAAACAGTTCTCAGTTGAACTTTTACTGATGCTTTCGCTTTCTTATATTTATGAATTCAGTAACAGAGCGCCTCTGTGAGATGGGCAGTTAGAAAATAGATGATATATATATAAATATGACTGAAATACCCTGAAAATATCTTGTCTCCTGATGTGCACTGATAAACAAATCCTGTATTCCACTAATACATGTTAGTGTGACCTCAAAAGTGACTTGTCTGTGTTTCTACTTTCCACAGGTCCGCCATTTTGTAACCCAATAACTTGACATAAGGACCACCCATTTTTTCTCAGTCCTTTTCTTGTGAAAGAGATGGTGGTGATGGTTCTTCTAGGCCTTTAAAACTTTTATCTCAAAGCAGAATTCATGCGTACCTCCTTTTTCATAAGGCCAAATACTGGTTACTGGATGTGGATAATCCCATCACGGAAAAAATATAATCAATGAAAAGATGAACATTTTTCCAGATTCCTCTTTCACCAGAGGTTGTGGGTGCTTCAACACTGGAGGCTTTTAAGAAAAGATTGTACAGTCATTTGTCTGAAATGGTATAGTGCAGTGATGGTGAACCTTTTTGGCACCAAGTGCCCAAACTGGAACGCGTGCGGGTACCGGAAGCCCGAAGACCACATGGTCTTCAGGTTTCTGGTGCTCTGGCAGATGCAAAGACCAGCTGGCCAGTGTGCATGCACGCAACAGAAACCAGAAGAGCAGCTGGCAACGGCATGCCTACCTACAGACAGGCTGTGTGTCACTTCTGGCACACGTGCCACAGGTTCACCATCATGGGTATAGTGTCTCCTGCTTCAGCAGGGGTTTGGACTAGAAGACCTCCAAGGTCCCTTCTAACTCTGTTATTCTGTTATCTTTCCTACAAATAATTCTGAAAGTGGGTATTGTTATTTAATTTTTTTAAAAAAATTCTCTTGCAGCTAGAAATGTATGGTGAGCGCTGAGGATCATTAAAAGGTCTTAATAGTCAATGATGCAATTATGTAGTTTTAGGTACACTATTAATATTAATGTGTGCATTTAGGCATTCTCTAAAACTATGCTACAGTCCATATAAATCCCTGCTTGCATAGGATACTCCATTTATTTAATGAATGTCTGATGAAGGTGAAGGCAGTTATATGAATTTTATTGTGTGTATGAAACTCCCTTTGATTGAAAGTAATAGGTTGGTACATATGTACTGGCATCGCTGGATGTGTAGTTTTCTACATGGACTGCTTGGAAACACAAGAGCAGCAGCTATGACCTCCTCTTACCATACTTTCTCTTTGGCTCTAGCATAAATTTTGCCAGAGTGAAAGAGGACAAGTTACTAGATAATAGTATCAGTGGCGAACAGGTTTCCCAAAATGTAGCATTTGGCAATAGCATAACATGCAATAATGGGACGCCTAATTAAGACAATACCCACAGCGGCAAAACTGAAGTTCTCACACACAGAACAATGTTTCAGTCATCCAGGTCACGGTTGTCCCAAAGGGGCTTTTTCAAGAGGCAACTGGACTTGAAGAAGCTTGTTGCATGAGAAGCGAAACGTCTTACAGCAAAAACAAAGAAAGTCCAATTGCCTCTTGAAAAAGCACCTTTGGGACACACACAGATCTTAACTAACTTAATGGGCATTTAAAAAAAAATATCAAATTGATAATGTATAATGCTATTTAGTATTAGCACCATTTAAGCATCTAAACTCTCATTTCTGCACATATAGAATTCATCACAGTTTCAACTATGCTGAAATATATACTGAAATAAGATGTAGATAGCCACAAATTACAGAAATATGGACCATTTTATCATCAAGTGTAAGCTTTAAAGGTTTGTTCAATGGTTAAATACAATACCACCTACAGCTTGACTCTATAATGCATATCAATCTGCCTTGAACTTGGATCTTGAATGTATCAACCTTATTTTAAGTTTCAATTTTACTAATTTATGCTTTAAGAATTAAATTTTCCAGGCACAAATAACAAAATAACTGGTTTTCTTTATTATTTTATCAAGACATGTCAACAGATATGAATTAGCGGTATATTTAACATTTCAATATTAGGAAATATATCCACAAATACTACTGAATATTTTTTAAAAGGCCAGACTCTATTTTCTCTGCTAAAACGTGGTATTTGCATATAGGTGTTACAAGCTATTTGGGTGTGTATCACAAGAAAAGGGTAGGCACAGAATGGAAGTAAATAATTTGAGTAGCTCTTAGAGGAGGCAAGTAGAAAGTGGATTTGTTGTGAGAAGTAAGTTAAACCCAGTAGTGGGTTTCAAATCCCGTTGCTACTGGTTTGCTCGTGGACATGCATGCACTTGAGATGCTTCTGCGCATGTGCAGAGATGTCCGGGTGGGTGGGCGGAGCCTCCTGCCATCACTACCAGTTCGCCCGATCCAGGGCGAACCGGTAGCAACCCACCACTGGTTAAACTAGATAGAAGATAGGCAAGTGAGGGGATAATATTAAAGGAATAAAACCTGAAAATACACATACACACGAGAGAAAGGAAGAAAAGGGCAGAGTGAGATTAGAATAAAAAGGCATAGATCACAACATTTAATATTGTTCCATTTTAATGTATACTTAGCATATAATGGACACAACATCCAAAGCTAAGGAATATTTAAGTTTTATTGCTGATTTGCTGACAGTACCATAATGGACAGTATTCATGGATACTACAGAAACTACTAATATTTCTAAAATCGAAAGCGGATACAGCAAAATCACTAGGACTTCAATCCTGCAGATACTAATTTCAGTCCCATAGCTTTAAATGGATCTATAATGACTACGCCCAAATTGAACAGTTTGAGGGGAAGAAAGAGCAGAGAATTTAGACAGCTTGAAAAAGGTTATGAAATAAAGCTATGGGTTTGTCTACCCAAATCTTTGTAAACCTCATTAAGAATAGAAGCAACCATGATAAACATCTTGGTTTTGTTATTGCTGAGGTTTTTCACAATCATTCTGTTATTCCGCCTCCCCCTTGTTTTTTAGAGCTCCAACTCTACCCACCTCTATTTCAAGAACCTGGTATATTTTGGGTAAGATCACACCATTCTTTCAACTAAGAAAGTAGCTAAAGACTGGGGAGTATTGAATGGGTCATTTGCAGATTGCTGCTGTTGTAGTTTAAAATTGTAAAAGGAGAGAAACCCTCTGCATTGAAGTGAAAAATTCCTGCCAGCAAGGCAGTAGAAATAATGTAAAGGAAAGCCTTCTCTATACCACGAAGCATCAATATTGTGTTTTATTTTCCGTATTATTATCAGATTTAAAATGACATTCTAATGCATAGCAGCTGCACAAAGAAGCGGCTGCAATTATGTTTTCTCATAAAAAATATTTTTTGATACGCCCGGGAATTTAGGAATAAAAGGTTAGCTATAACAATACAATGATGCTTTCCTAAAACTAGTAATATTTGTGTCTCATATCTAAGAAAACATATTTTAAAAAGATTAGAGGTTTCAAAAATGTTAATGTGACACACACAAAGCCTCTGAAAACTTCAGTTTATCTTTAAAAAGTATTTGTACAAATGTAGGTATTTGTACAAAATATAACACTATGAACTCCTATGTATCAGTAGATTACACATACTGAAATGGTTCCAATTATTGATATCCATCAGCTAACTGCCAAGCAATAACATAGTTATATTTTCATTTTGTCCAGGACAACTTCTGTAATTGTGGAACAAAGTGTAAATTGTAGAACATTCAAAGCTAAAAATTTACCCAATAAAATTACATTTAAACTTTACAATCATAATTGCCTGGATCCAAAATTGATATGCATGAATGCACCAATCATGCATGCTTTTTTAATTTGCTCACTGAAAAGACTCTTTTTGAGATCATGTAAATACTCCTCCTGTTAATGGAAGTGCATACAGTTGGTGGGTGTATTTCTGAATTTCATCAAGCATTTGATACGAAATAGATCAGATTTACTATAATTACTCTCTTTTTTATTCCAGCACAACACAGCATTTCTGAAAACCTAAAATATATTCTAGAAGAACCAGTTTCAGGAGGTGAACAATAACAGCAACCTCTGAATATCTGGTGTATCATGACAAAAAGAGTTGAACTAAAGGATTAAAGCTGTCAACAGTAAATCATTGGGTTGAATGTTAGATATCCCGTCTTTCTTCCAGGAGCTCAGGGAGGTGAATAATTCATTTCTGCCTCCCAATTTTTCCCCCCAGCAAGAGCAAGCCTGTTCAGCAGATCGGATTTAAGAGTGAGTGACTGATCCTTGAGTTTTTTTGGACCTTACGAGGCCTTAGGTAGTTAACAGTGGATTTTCATCTGGCTTTCCTGCTTCTACACCCTGACCACATAAGATATGCAGGTAACAGGTAACCAAACATTCCTGGATTTTCTAAATGTTAGAACTTAAAAGAATACTCTTTACTCAAATAGCTTATTAAAGACCTGTGAAGCACAAAAAGGAACAACAATGAGCTTAATCAAATTCAACCGTTTATAAGATGGCAGAATTACACTTAGCCCAAACCAAGTATTCATACTAAAGAATGATAGAATGAGGGCAGAAAATGGATTATTTCACACTCTGGCGCTTTCTGTAAAATGCAGTACACAGTAGAGCCAGTTATGTTAAGTTATTGCAGTGGAACACAACCGAGACATTAATGTGGCGTGGGGTGGGATGGAGGAGAAACCTGCTTTTAATTGTAACTAGAGAGGACCATATCAACTCTGAAGAGGAGTATCAAAGCAGAGCTGCCATGAGCTCCAAATTCAGTTAAACCAGCACATTTCTCTTCAATGCGTTTAAATTCTGCATTACCCAGGTCCAGCAATTGCACATTTTAACACTATAACACCCAATGTACAATCATATCCTTTTTTCAAGAAAGGATGCTGCAGTCAATCCTAAGTATGATTCCATATATATCAACTGAAAATAAATATAAAACGCTTCTATTCCAGAAGTCATGTTTCTGCATTTCGCCCTCACCAGCCGCAACAATCCAGTTATATTTTAAGGATGCATGAATACTTGTTATCAAATCTTTGAAGTTACATGTGAATAATAAGCCCACTGCAACAAGTCAGTTCTATATCATAGGAAAGAGGATCTGCATACCCATGCAAAATGTACAATCTCTCCAACAAAATATATTCTGCAAAAGCAAGTTTCTGTAAAAACAAGGAAGTTGACGACAAAATAAAGAAATATTGAAAGAGGTTTTTCTTCAGGAGACATGGACAAAATATAAGTTGAACCTAACAGAAGCGATATCCTCTTTGATTATACAATAGTGAACACTGTAGAAGAATAATTCCTGAATTAAAGTTGCTGAACATGGTTCAGATTACTGGATACCTCTAAAAGTATAATGCTTTGCAGAAGCATTTACTGTGTATCAACATCCTACTTCTTACAACACATGGTGTTGCGTAAGTAGTGAAAATGTATTCAAAAGGTGCTTGGACATCTTTTTAGGCAGCATTTTATCATTATTTTTAGCTACTCAGTTTTATGATAAATGGTCAAGGGGGTATTAAAACAAAACAAAAAAAGTTTAGGTTTGAACTAATTTTTTTTTTTAAAAAATAAGAGATAAAATGTTGCCCAAAGTCTAAAATCACTTTCACACAATTCAATGTTCTTTTTAAAAGTTAGATCTATAAATTAAATAGTTCTAATAGTTAAAGATACAATTTGTATCAACAGCGTAGGTACTTTCTGGTTCTACAGCATCTTCAAGTTGCAGTCCTCTACCCAGTTATCAGCAATAATTATATAAACTTGGGAATCATCACAGTGTGAAGCTCTAAAGGGACTTCTAGTATATGAGCAGTCAATCACGATGTTTACTGTATCAGGCACTGTGAGATCTACTGTTATTCTATTTATGTAAAATTACATTTTACAAGAGCTAGAAAAGTTCAAAACTTAAAACCAGAAATCTCCCATACTAATACTAGAAGAGATGACAGTGTCTACTTCTAAAGCTATGTTGTTCATGGCAAGAATTGGGCCTATATAATGCAATAGGCCAGACAAAGCTAATTCTATACAGTATTTCACAAAAAGAATGTGCTGTTTTCATCTATAATTACCATTACTATAGTGCAGTTAAGATGTTGCATATCCTGAACACAATGTTAAAACCTTCTCAATAAATAGCATGAAAATACACAATCTTATATACAAAAATTGCATTGAGAACACAATTTGTTTCTTTAAAAACAGTTATTTTATGAAATACCTGTGCATTAAGTAAAGGAACAAGGGATACACTTTTCAATGCCATTTCTGATTAATGGAAATGTACATTGGCTGCACAAGACTGCTGCCTAAACGGATATATTTGTGGTCAAAGTTGTGACAGTCAGGAACTGGATAAGCTCAATAATTTCAGAACCTGCACATAAAGTTTTTTTCATCTGCATAATAAATAAAAACAGGTTTCTCTCCTACTGATTGCTTCTGCTTACACCAAAATTAACAGTAATCAACAAATAAATTAAATCCATAGCCAAACAAATTAAAAAGTGCCATACTATAAAGTACTAATATATTGTTACCCATTTCAATGTAAAAACTGGTAACTTATACATTAAAAAAATTCAGTGCTGTAAAAGACTGTTGTTTTCTATAAATAAAATGATTATATACAAAGAAAAATCACACAATAAAATTAAATAACTTAATTATGAAAAAATAGATCCTAATAAGCTTGACTTGAAAAAAAAGTTGGCTGGGCACATAAAATCCTCTTCAGTTTTCTGCTGTTTTGAAAAAAATGCTTTGCACTTGAAGGATAAAACACCCAATAATTTAATAAATATGTAACAAATATTAAAAAGTGCTGCATATAAAACCCACATGCACTAGGGATTCTTACTTGAGACATCATAGTTGTTAATATATTCAGCTGGAGAGACATTCCAGCCATGATTTTTTTTTTTTTTATAAAACTGAGTATTTAAAATAAATCCTGTTACTTCTGGGGTTGTACACACAGGTTCCATGGCACAGTATTTCACATATATGGATTACTATATAACCTCCTTGCTGAGAAGGAGATCACAAATGCTATTGTAGCAAACCTCCCTCAGCGATACAGCTGAAACTGAACTAATAGACACCATAAAGATGCATCATCACTATCATGTCATCAATAACCTAGCTGAGACTTCTCCACTAAAATGGCTGCAGCAAGCTGCTGAGCATCTGCCATGTGAGGATTCCTTTTCATAACAATCCTCACCAGATCAGGCGGGAAAATGTTGCACAGGTTGATGTAGACTTTCTCTCGACTGTCTTGGTACCTTGGAAGATCTTGAGGCATTCCACAGTAAGGTATCTGCCAAGGCTGATCGGGTTGCTCAGGTAAGCTTTGGAAAGCAAACTGCTCGTAACATGGCGGGGTGGGATTGCTGGGTAAAGAGTAAGTCTGACGATAGCCATATGTATCCATCCCATAGCCTGGCCTATCCCAACTACCGAGTCCATCTTGAGCGGAGTATGTTTTTCTTTTTCTCAATGGAGAATTATCATACAAACGTGAGTCTGATACACTGTCCAGTCTTGTGGATGCAAGAGCTCTCCCCAGAGGCATGCTTTTTGAATGCTGTGAACTCTGAGAAGCAGGGTAGTCAATAGGACAAGTAGAACGGCTTCCCAAGTTTGGGTGCTGAAAGTGCATGGCCATGTATGGAGCGGGAGGCTTCGGATGATGCTTTGGTTCTTCATGACTATAACTCTGCACTCTGGTTAGCGTATCATGGTAACTCTGTAAGAAGGATTGTGAGTTCAGATGGCTATGCATATGTTGACATTTTAAATTCTCTTCCAGTTGAGGGTCAGGAGAACTCACATAGGATCGATCGTTGTAGCCCATGTAGGAATCGCCACTGCCGCAACTCGTACTCCCTTCACTACTACAATCAGAAGCCACCGAACTAATTCTGTAATCTGTGTCCAAAGAGAAACGTCGTTCGGGACTTCGGGGACCAGAGATACTTAGGTTTGAATATGCACTGAGCATAGAGTAATAACCTACATCCACAGGAGAATCACATTTGGGATACTGCTCATAAGGCATTGGCGTTCCATGGTTTTTGGTTGTCATTATTACTGGAGAATACGGTCCCTGTGGTCTTTGATCCTGAGGTGGGAAATGAACTCCAGATGGAAGGCCATTGGTTAAAGGTGCAGTACTTTGGGGTTTTGCAGCAGCAGAACTTGGTATACTAACTAAAGAAGGTACAGACCTGGTTCCCAATTTATTTTTGGTGGGAAGCTTTTCTTCCAAGTCTTGGTAGACTTGAGTCCTTATGCTAGGATCCGATTGCCTCTTTGGAGTAGTTCGCTTGAGATCTGTAGTGTTATCTGTCTTAGTACTACAAGGAACGCTGTTGCTTTTCACTAGCCCTCCTTCACTAGCAGCTTTGGCAGCTGTGCTCCTAGACATGGCACGAAGTTCATCAGCTACTGATCTCTGAGGTTGATTTCCTCTTTCTGGGTGGTAATATTTGCATTTGTGTCCATAAGTGCATTTCTTCCCTATATGAATTTATAATTGAAGATGTAAGCATACAAAGAAAAAAACACAAAATGATGTAATTCTCTAGCAATGTTAAAAAAAATTCTATACATACTCATGCAACAAGGACCGTTAACTATTATGCAATGAAATTAAGTAAATTACCAGTAATTGGACAGTGTGTTTGTATAACACCTTAACCCATCCTGTGATTAGCCCTGGCCTATCATGCTGTTTGAATATAGACCAAGATTATACAATAATTGGGAACAACCATATAGAAACCAGGATTATTTACCTAAACATTTGCCTGCTATATTATCCAAAGTTTAACTGGGGTTTGATAGAGAAGATAGGGAAGCCTCATCTGCAGGATCTCTGCTGTTCTGGATCTTTTTTCCCCATTCACTACTTAGGATGGATGAAATGAGGTCACAAAGGCATTCCTCATTGAACTTCTTATATAATGAACATTTCAAAATAGATACATTTCATTTCATTTATGGAGAGACAAATAAACAACCAAACTTCATTTTTAGAAACACATTTGATGTGTAATTAAATAATATTACCATATGGACAGGGTTGCTTCTTATGTTCTGGTACAACAGGTTTCTTCCTCAGAAAGTTCTCCAGACTTGGGCCATGTCGGCCGAGAGGATCGTCTGGAGGCATGAATCTAAATAATAATAATAAAATAATGAAAGGAACAATGCATTTGCTGTGCCATATTTCAGATCCGTTTTAAAACTGCTTCTAAAAAAGCCTACTAATATCAAACTTACGTTTTATAGCTACGATAATTTAAACACAACTGCCTGTGAGATGCTAAGAAAGTAAATAGTGAAAATAATGTATTTGCATGTAGTGCAGACAGCGGCCTGATTTACACACCAATCTACATTGGTGGGTATCCTAACTTCCTTATTTCCATTCATTTAAGATCATATTCAGCATAGCTGTTCTGTAAGGATATCTTTGCATACAGGTAGTCCTTGCCTTATGACCATTCATTTAACAACCAAAGTTACAATGGTGCTGAATAAAGTGATTTATGACAAGTTTTTGCCAAGAGTCATTTTATAGACATAGACCATTAAAAATTATAACTTACTTGTCATTGACAAATGAATACATCAGGAGTCGTTCATCAATAAATTTCTTCCATTCTGGCTTTTCATTAGCTAGATCCCTGTAGTTATCATTAGATACAATTATACCATCTGACTCAAAAGCCAACTTCACTATGAATCTGTCGTCATAGCATACCACCCTTCTCCCTTGAACTCGCCGTGATGGAGTGAACACCAGAATTTTCTCTTTTTCCAATTTACGCAATATTTCTTGATCTAGAATATTGAAATTGAAAAAGGAAACACAAAACAGAACACTGAAATTCACTTAAATCGGGTTACCTAGCTTTACCCTACTAAGGCTTTAAAACACACACATGTACAAATGCATGCACCTACCTGCCTGCCTACTAGAGATTGAGAGAGAGAGAGAGAGTGGGAGGGAGAGGGAGAGAGAGAGGGAGGGAGGGAGGGAGAGGGAGAGGAACAGAGGGAGAGGGAGAGAGAGGATGAATGAGAATGATAATATGACACATTCAAATGACTTGGCTTAATAAAAGCAAATATTATTCTAATAGAAGAAGGTAGTTACAATTTCAGCAACACAAAAAATGTAAGATGCCTTTACTCATGACCTCAGCAATTATGCTTAGGAACAGATGTTACTACATTTAATTCCAATAATCTGCAGTTAATACCTGTACTAAATTAAAAGAATGGAATGTTATGTTTTCTATACATTAAGAATACGTTTGGTTATTAAACACATATTTATAATGCTATATTATATTTCCAATATCTGTAAACATAATTTGAGCAGTTCTGCTAAAGATATATTCAACTGAGGGCATAGTAAAAGGCAAATTCTTGATCAGCCCTTAGATACCAAGAATGAAAAAGAAAAGTTTCCAATATCTTCTGAACTATTTGAATATCAACTTATATCACAGACATAGCCTTGTAATTCAATTTGAGATGATGCAAGCTGAAATATATTCATAGTTACTAATTCAAGATTTAGAAAAAGGGCCTTTCTTAATAATGAAGTAGTTGCTGATAGGTTTTGGAACCTGCAGAAACGTATTCAAATATTCATTTTTGTCCAAAACTCTAACAGCTTTTATAACATTTAATTATATTTCACATTTTATTTGAGGATATAAATCTTTCCCAATTAGGTTACAAGCAACATCTGAATATATTTATGACATAACAGCAAATTAAGTCATCAAGCCGTATACTTTAATCAAATATTGTCTAGCTAAACATTTTTCCTGCTTAGATTATTAATAGATGGGTGACAAGTTACAGAGTCAGCATCAACTCTGAATCTAATTTTTTCATTTAATACAAGATTAACCTCTAAGAGACCCTTTTATTTATAAAACTCCAATAAAAGGTTAGGGCAATAGATCTGATATGTAGTAACAAATCTTAGATCAAGTGTCTCTAAGATATAGGTGTTATTTACATATGAACACAAGGTATCAAGCATTAAAAGATATTGAATGCAGGCATTCATAATAATTAATATGATCAACTAAAACATGGGCATCTTATGGGCAAATGATGAAATATGTCATACAGGTAAACCTTGCTTAAAGACTGCCTTTTGTCATCAACAATTTGTCATCAATTCAACCCAATGAAAACCTTTTCAATTTTCTCCTTCTTCTTAAAGAGTGTACCTTCCTTCATATTCTTTTGGGATTCAATTCTTATTCATTATTTCTTTATGATTAAACCACTTATCCATCTGTCACTCACTTTTGTATTCACATTCAACATCCATTTAAGCTTGGTGTTTTTTTTATATTTCCTTGTTTTATTATACATAATTAAGTGCTCCAGTCACATTGCACTCAATTTATTTCTGTCTCTCCTGAGATACATACCCAGTTCTCAGTCCCATATCACATTCCTTCCTCACAACCAGGGTGGATTTGATTTAAATCGAGTTGATTTAAATCACAATTTAAATCATGATTTAAATCACTAGTAAAAAGGCTTGATTTAAATCAACTCGATTTAAATCATAATTTTTAAAGAGCAACTGTCATCTCTGCTACTCCTTTGACCCACTGTTGACTCACCGATAGTCCCAGTGTTGCAGAATATACAGCCTCATGCTACATAACTAAACTCCATTTCATGCTGAATAAACTAAATTATTTATGTATCTTAAATAGAAAACTATCTTACGATAGATTTTTACCCCAAAAGTTTTTTATTAAAATAAATTCGATAAAAATAAAAAAAATCTGATTTAAATAAAAAAAAATCCGATTTAAATAAAAAAAAAAACAGCCTTCCCCACTACCCCCGGAGGCCCTCCAGAGGCCGGAAACAGCCCATTTGCCGACTTCCGGTGGGCCCAGAAGGCCCAAAGAATCAGCTGGCCAGCATGCGCACACGTGCTGGAGCTGAGCTAGGGCAACGCTCATGTGCTAAATAATATGGCTCTGTGTGCCACCTGTGGCACGTGTGCCATAGGTTCACCATCACGGGTACAGGGTCTCCTGCTTTGTAGGAAGTTGGATTAGAAGATCTCCAAGGCCTTATACAGCCCTGTTATTCCATGTTCTAAAATATTTTGATTTAAAGTAGTCCTTAAAATGCTCACATAGAATAAGCAAGATCAAAATTGTCATAGATTTTACAAATGAAACTGCTGAATGTTGATCAAAATATACCTGTAATGAGTGCATCTGGTCGAGACTGTTCTTTTCTCCATGCTGGGACAAACACTGTGACATCTTTGTGTCCTCTTTCCAAAAACCAGTCCACGGCCAGTTTTATCCCACGACAAGAGAATACTTCTTTGTTTCCATGGCTGAAACAGATGTGCTAAAATTACTAATCTACATTACTGTAACTACCACTGTTTCATATATATATGTATGAATGGAATCTACTTGCATCCTGCCCTCATAAGCACAAAGCACTCAAAAGTAATTAACAAAAGCTAAGTGTGGCATTTAAAAATTCTCATAAAATAATAAATTGCCTATATACAAGAAGCTTAATTTAGAAAATGAACTTTTCAATTAAAAATGCCTATACAAATAGAAAATATTTTAATATGTAAATTTGTATGTGGCATTACTTTGACCAGTGTTCCTCCAAATCAGTTATGTTTAAGTATTAGGAATACATTTTACGCATTGCAATATTTTCTGAACAACATGGGTACGTATTTAATTTCTGTGTAATTTATATGCAATACATCTCTTGATAGCTAGATCAAAATAAGCTACTTAGCAATAGGTAAAATATGGCACTCAAATAAATCAAGACCACACGATTTTGATGTTTGAAAACAAAACACATTTATCTCTCTCATATAAAAATTGAAACATAACTGTTTATTTCATAACAGTTAATAGTATTTCAGACAAGAACTTTGAACAAAGTATAGTTATGATTATAATTTATAACTGTTGCATAAAGGACACAAAGATTTCAGTTTATCATCATGGCTGAGATATACCTCAAGAAAACAGACACAGAGAATTCTTTCTTCTGGATAAACTTTTCTTTCTTTTGATGAGTTGGTTTAATGGAGGTTTGTACTTTCTCTAGGCGAAAATTGATACTTTAAAACTCTATATGTATTATATTACTCTCTGCAATTCTATCCATATTGTTATACTTTTTTTTCTGTATTTTTTAATAATTTTCAATAAAAAATTTAAAAAAAGAAAAGAAAACAGAGACAGTAACATGGTACTGAGAAGGCACATATAACTGCTCCTTGGTTTATTTTCTAAATAGCCAGCTTTTTTTAACCTGTAATTTTCTCACTCGTAGTTGTATAAAATCATTCTTTATAGTTGGGTATTTTTTTATCTTTTTTTTTTTTTACAAATTTTTATTGAAAATTATTAAAAATTACAGGAAAAAATATAGCAATATGGATAGAATTGTAGAGAGTAATATAATACATATAGAGTTTTAAAGCATCTATTTTTGTCTAGAAAGTACGCGCACTTCTCGGATATTTTTTTTATCAACACTCTCTACAGCAACATGGAAAAAAACCCAGAAGACAGAGAGTAGCTCCAAGTACATTCAATATTTCTTCCATTCGTCATGAAGAATCAGATTTTCAGGGTTGTTTATTTCATCAGCTGCCATTAGTCAGCAACTGCACTGCTTAGAGAAGAAGGTCAGAAGGGGGATTTCAACACAGCTGAAACCAAAGACCCCCCCCCCTTTTTTTTTAGACTAATGGATAAACAACTAGAAAAAAAGTCACAAAACTTTGCTTTTTATTAATGACAACTCCAGCAAGGCTATTATATGTTCAAAACTGGGAAGGCTTGACATTACCTACAACAGAGGAATCTTTCCAAAACGGGTACTTTGTGAAGGAAAAAAAAAAAGTTTCTGGTTACACCATACCACCAAATTGTCACCACTGTAAATTCAAAAAGGAAAGCTGCAAAATATCCTGGGGACAATGTCCCAATAGTGCCCTTGAGTTCTAAAAACAATCATTCCCAAATAACAACTGGTTGTAAGATTACAAAAAAGCTGGAATCAGATTTAATTAACTCCTGTGGAGCTTTACCAGGAGGTAAGCTGGATAAAAAATAAATTGGTATGTACAATGCAAACCATATTGTAAATTTGCAATTTGCAATGCAAATTGCAATGTATCATTGATCAAATTAGTTTTGCCCACCCCTACAACTGGATGCAAACACTGTGGTATTTTAAGACTCCTTCTTATATATTTAAACCAGTGGTGGGTTTCAAATTTTTTTACTACCGGTTCTGTGGGTGTGACTTGGTGGGCGTGGCATGGTTTGGTGGGCGTGGCTTGGTGGGCATTGCAGGGGAAGGATACTGTAAATTCTCCATTCCCACCCCACTCCAGGGGAAGGATACTATAAAATCTCCATTCCCTCCCCAATCCAGGAGAAGATTACTGCAAAATCCCCATTTCCTTCCGATCAGATGGGACTTGGGGGGCAGAGAATAGATGGGGGCGGGGCCAGTCAGAATTTTTACTACCGGTTCTCCAAACTACTCAAAATTTCCACTACCGGTTCTCCAGAACTGGTCAGAACCTGCTGAAACCCACCTCTGATTTGAACTCAATAGTGATCATACAACAAAATGGAAAAGAAAAAGGAATAGTTCAAGTTTTGAAGAGCACCAGTCTTCAGTAACTGGACTTGATTATACTGCATATATTTCCAATGGATATGTATTAAAATCTGAAGTGCAGGATATGAATGATAGGCATTCTAATTTACAATTGCTATCCTCCAATTTTTCAACTATTTTGACCATGGTTCAAGAGCAAGTTACTATCATCCCAAGGATTGAAATATTCAATAAGCTTGATAAGCTGCTCACCTCTGCATTTAGTGGTTGCACTGCAGACTGATTTAATTGTTAAGAGTTTTATTCACATTTTCTGCACTCAGTATCTCAATGACAGATACAGATAATTCCTTAATTTAGGAATTAAAGAAGGAACTCAGGAAGAGTGTAAAATAATGAATCCCCTTCCCGTATCATCTGATTGATTTTGGAATGTTAGTACTTGAACTGTCAAATTAAATGACTGTGCCTTTCCAAATTAATGGATATATTATTCTTTTACAGGAGACATGGAATAATGAAGACTCCCCTACCCTTTAATAGAAATACAAATCATTACCTCAATATGTTCTCCCAGGAAATGAAGAAAGATTGTATGTGTGTTTGTTTCTTTAGCATTAGAAATATTAGAATTGCCCCTTTGGAAATATGCAATGCCAGTATTATATTTTAATAGCTTTGTTATTAATTCATGTATATACGGTACATTCCCTTATGCACTCATTCCTTGATTAATGAAGCAGGGTATAGGTTAAAAAAATCATTCCTATCATTTCCATAGGCTATAGCCAATTGCTCATGTGATAGTGGCAGGGGACTGTAATGCAAGAATTAGATTTAATAAGCTTTATGTGAAACTTAAAAGCTTTCCCCCCCTGATTTTATAACATTGCATCCCCTACCATTGCTTCAATCGAAAGGCCATTTTGCAAACCTGCAAGACTGTGCACGATGCAATCTTTGAACAGTTTAGATTGAACAACACTTTGGATACAAGCTAGCCAGCAGTGTATACACATTCGGCAGCCTTCCTTGAAATAATAGGTTGCATTTATCAAGGATCCTGGTCTCACATCTGCTAAAACTGTACAATTGTTATGTGTTCTGCTAATGACAACTTTCCAGCTGTTCTCCGTTTTAAGAATATCAGGGAATAGATCACACTTGGGAATTAATGCTGCTCGTAAAATGGATTCTGAAATAGGTTCCAATTTGGATTAAATGGCCATTTCACAGTAGGACCATTTAGTGAAAGGCCTATTGAGCTCTAAAGAAGCTGCACAGGTCCATTCTACTATTATGAAGATGTGGATGGAACTATTCTAGCAAATTATAATAAATTACTCCTACAGGTAATTGGTAAGAAACAGTCTTCTACACCTTAGTGGTTTGTTTCCCCCTTATTTCTTCTGACAAATTTGTCAGCAAATGGAAAGGTTGGGTCTTACATAAGTTGAATGATTGTGATAACTCTCTGGAGTTATTCTAGGTTATGATCAAGCCAGACCGAAGATAAGGCAGAGAAGAACAGATATAGAAAGCCAGGAAGTTCAGTCCTGTATGCCAACAAGGGTGTATCTGGGGTGCTCAATCCATTAACTTGAGTCTAGCTCGCTATATGAGACTGTAATATTCAAATAAGATAGGATATATTAGCATGATTTTATGTTTTGGCTACCCAGTTGTCTTGGTAGGTAGATAAAAAGAAAATTCTATAATGAATTTTCACTGAAATCACTGCTCATTTTCTTCTATACCGGTGTTTCTTAAACTTCTTTCTCTCAGGATTCCTTTCCACTATGAAAAATTATGGAGGACCCCATGACTTGTAATCATTCATTTAGCAATCGTTCAAAGTTCCAACGACACTGAAAAAAGCGACTTACAAGCAATCCTCACATCACCATCATAGCATCCACACAGTCAAATGATCAAAATTTGGGTGCTTGGCAACCAACACCTGTTTATGATGGTTGCAATATCCTAAGGGGTCATGCAATCACCATTTGCAACCTTCCCAGCCAGCTACCAACGAGCAAAGCCAATGGGGAAAGCTGCATTTGCTTAAGAACTACATCGTTTGCTTAACAACCATGGCAAAAAAGGTCATAAAATCAGATGCAATTCTCTTAACTGCCTTGCTTAGCAATGGAAATTCTGGCCCCAATTGTGGCCATACACCAAGGACTACCTGTTGATCAAATTTATCGAAATTAAAAATTAAAGTTGATGCATTCGCTGCGAGTTCTCATGTTTAATGGGATTTTCATACTGTATTACATTTCAAAATACGCTTCCAAATAGTGTTGATTTTGAGAACTCCTGAGGCGGCCTTGTGGGAGCCCCAGGAATCCAAGTCTGTTCCATGCTACTTCTTTTATCAGGATATTCGGCCGCCAATCTTAATTTAACACCCAGAACAGCAAATTATCCATGCGATTAAAATCTATTTTATCTCCATCTATTGTCTGACAGAAATGATAGTCTCTCTGAATGCCGCTAAATATTATATTTGTAAGAGTATAGAACCATAGCATTTTATATCTATTGATTATTTTATTATTCTGAATTTTATTTTATTGTTGGTTATAATTGTTGCAAAAGTAGTCGATTGTTAGTATTTTTAACATAAACACGTCTGTTTGTACACCTTTTAGTCAGTCTTCACTCTTGGCAATTGCCTGGCAAATCTCTGCACTTTTTCTTGGCAACATCTGC